TTCGCTGCGGAGGACACGAGTGAGGAGCATTGTCTGGATTTTTTCACCGGGTCACGCCGGTGTGTTGGGAAATGAACAGCGGACAGACTGGCTGGCTCTGCACAACTTGATGGAATACTGCTACATGATAAGGCAGACGTGGATAGTGCCTTGTGGGAGAGCGTGTACAATATGGAGGAGCAGATGGATCACCACAGTTTGGTGAGATTGATTCAGTTGGGGGTGACGAGAGGTTTGGGCAGAAGCGCAAGGCTCAAAGGAAAGGCAAGACGAACGTTTAATCAGAAAGCTACTGGCACTATTAGTATCGGAACTCTTCGCTGGCTGCTGAAGATGGGGACGGAGCGCTTATGGGAATGCCCCGAGTGCTGTGATGTCGGTTCTAGAATCAAATCAAATCCCTTGTAGTCCTTTAACGTCGCCGGTCCGATGTTCGCAAGAGTCTGTCCTATATGTATTCAGTATTTCTTGTGTGGTAGCAATCAGTTAAACCACTGCCGGCTTACTAGGCCCGTCTCGTTGCTGGGCAGGCACAAAATTGGATCTGACTGGTGCCTACTAGGCCCGTCTCGTTGCTGGGCAGGCACAAAATTGGATCTGACTGGTGCCTACTAGGCCCGTCTCGTTGATGGGCAGGCACAAAATTGGATCTGACTGGTGCCTACTAGGCCCGTCTCGTTGATGGGCAGGCACAAAATTGGATCTGACTGGTGCCTACTAGGCCCGTCTCGTTGATGGGCAGGCACAAAATTGGATCTGACTGGTGCCTACTAGGCCCGTCTCGTTGATGGGCAGGCACAAAATTGGATCTGACTGGTGCCTACTAGGCCCGTCTCGTTGATGGGCAGGCACAAAATTGGATCTGACTGGTGCCTACTAGGCCCGTCTCGTTGATGGGCAGGCACAAAATTGGATCTGACTGGTGCCTACTAGGCCCGTCTCGTTGATGGGCAGGCACAAAATTGGATCTGACTGGTGCCTACTAGGCCCGTCTCGTTGATGGGCAGGCACAAAATTGGATCTGACTGGTGCCTACTAGGCCCGTCTCGTTGATGGGCAGGCACAAAATTGGATCTGACTGGTGCCTACTAGGCCCGTCTCGTTGATGGGCAGGCACAAAATTGGATCTGACTGGTGCCTACTAGGCCCGTCTCGTTGATGGGCAGGCACAAAATTGGATCTGACTGGTGCCTGTCGCCTTCCAGGCGAGCCATTGCCCCCGTTAGCTTGAAACATCGCTGCTTCAACTTTCTGGCGGGCACCACGATGGGACCGGGAAAAAGGGGGGGGGTGGTGCGCTCTACGGGTCGTTTGCAAGCTACTTAAATTTCACTTTCACTCCTCCTTAGAGAAGTTAAAACAGTCTTAACACTGGTGACCTCAGTGCCAATCGTCTGAGCACATCCGTGTATGCCTTACTACTACTTCAGTGCCAACATTCAAAATATTGATACAACATTTCAATAACGTAGCAAAACTTTGTGCGTGGTATTAAAATTACAGATTAGCTTGGCAAGGTTAAACAGTAACGAATGTGTAGGTAACTACCAACTTGAGTTATGAGTTATGAGTTAGATTATCTCCACAGCACTTCGGACACATCCATACGCTCAGATTCCCCTCTCAACATATTCATCAGCGTCGTGCGTTTAATAGTACCAGTCCTATTTTGGTTAACAAGACTTCGTGTGCTTCTCATGCTTAGCTGTGCCGATCTTTACCCTCAATTTTCGTATTCTTAGAAGTGATGTGGACACGTTGCTTCCAAAATCCTCAGAACGTCCTTTCTCTCTAAGGGCAATGACAATGTCTGCGTGATCCATGAGCCGGCCATCTTCAATTAATGCAGTGCCTGCCAGTCTATCAGCTCTCTCATTACCAACAACGCCTGCATACCCTGGGACGAATATGGAAGTAACTGCACACACAGGAGAATTTTGCAATGACTCAAGCCACTGTCTGCGTAACCAGCATGCCTCGACCCGCCGGATCATACTTAAAGAATCACTCAGCTCACACACACGGGAATAGTCCTGTGATCCCAGCCACATGATTGATACTACCAGCTTGGGCAGCCCTGGCTGGCCCTCTAGAGGCCAGGGCTGCCAATGGAATGTTTATCAAATCCCAAGGTGAGCTGACCAAAAAACCCAGCAAAATGTAAAACGAGACCCAGTATTGGTAGCCCTGCCTGAGGCCAACGTTGTTCTCACAATGATTGTGTGTGGAGGGAGCGGCTATCAGTGTTGCCACTTTGGATCTTTTGTATCCAAATTTAGATCTTTTTCATTGCGTTTAGATCCTGTTTTTGACGTTCTAAACGTCAAAATATTTTTCTAGATTCTTTTCATATGGAGTTAGATATTTTATAGATTTATTTTTCTTTTAGTGTCATTTTAATAATTATTGAGTAAAATATTTACTACAATATTTTTGTTTTGGTCTGGCACGTACATTGTGGCAACTGCCATTACTTAAACTTTGAACTCTCACTAAGGTCAACACTCAAATATCTGACAACCCCGGTGCTGATTAATCGAATCGCGCGTAAATCAATCATACTAACTTTGTTTCAACCGTATCCTCACTGTGTTGTGAAGTATAGCTGTGATGCTGACTCTGTGTTTCTTTTTCATGTGATTTTTAAAAAATAATTGCGCACCTTCTTGTGTGGCTTTCATTTTGAAAAAAACCTTTCAACATGCCAAAAGTAAAGAATGAGCAAAAATTTCGTAAAGAGTGGTTGCATGATGACAAAATTAAAGACTGGGTGATGGCAGTTCCTGGGGATATAACCAAGGCTCGTTGTAAGTACTGCAAGTGTGCAATTAAAGCGAAAATACAAGACTTAAAGAAGCACGCAGAGACTAACAAGCATAAAACTGCAGTTCCATTTAAAGGTATTACACCGCTGACATCTGTTTTCAGAACTACACTGATAACGAATCATCAAAAGTTGAAGGGTCGGTCGCAATGTTTTTAAGTTGCCATTGTGCAATTTCAAACTGTGACCATTTGATTGATTTGTTTAAAAACACAATTTCTGACAGTAAAGTTATGGATGATGTGAAAATGCATCGCAGCAAGTGTACACATATTATAAGAAATACTTTATTTTCTCACTTCGAAAAAGATTTGATCAGTGATATTTCTACAAATAAATATAGTTTATTATTAGACGAATCAAATGATATTTCGGTACTGAATGTGCTTGGTGTGTGTATTATATATTACAGCAACAATACAGACAAAGTAGTTTCTACATATCTTGGACTAGTTCAATTGGAAAAGTGTGATGCAGAAAGTATAGTTCAAGAACTGAAGAACCTTTAAATCAGCAAACAGTTAGACTTGACAAATTTGGTTGCAATTGGTACCGATAATGCCTCAGTGATGGTTGGCATAAACAATGGCTTTTATGCCAAGTTGAAGGAAGCTATCCCATCGTTTAGACTTATAAAATGTATGTGTCATTCATTGCAGCTAGCATTATCACATGCTTCATCTGAATGTTTACCAAGGAATTTGGAATACCTTATTGCTGAAACACATAACTGGTTTTCAAAATCATTTGTCAGACAACAGCAATACAATGCATTGTATTCAGCATTAAATAATGGTTCCACACCACTGAAAATTCTGTCAGATTGCAAAACCAGGTGGTTATCAATACAACCAGCTGTTGAAAGAATTGTGAACCAATGGTTGGAGTTAAAGACACACTTTGAAATAACAAGACAAAGTGAAAAGTGCTACACAGCTGAGATACTATATGGAATGTACAGTGATGAAAAAAATTTGGCATTCCTTCTCTTTTTACAACCTATTCTAATGGAAGTGCAAAAAGTTAATAAACTGTTCGAATCCAAACATGTTGATAAAGTTAAATTACTTGACGATCTCACTTTGCTATTTTACTCAGTTGGTAAAAGACTGGTGTTGCCAACTTCAAAAGTTGATTTGCTCACTTGCACTATCGAGAGCTATTTGGCTCCTATACCAAACCTTAGATATCAAATTGAATAAAAAATTGATGATTTAAAAACAAAAGGACTGTTAACAGAGAATGAAGAGAACAACCTAAGAAAACGCTGTCAAGATTTCATTATCTCATTGTTCAAGCAACTAAAGCAGAGACTTCCTGAAAATCTAATGTATTGAAACATATTTCACTCTTTTCTGTGAGCAACATACTTCAGCCAGTAAAGGACATACCTAAATATTGTAAAGTTATGAAATTTTTAGGGGCTACTGACAATAGTGTCGCGGAAGCAGAATATCAGTTAACCAAAAAAAAACTTAGTTGAATGGACAAACAAAATAGAAACTGAAGCGTTTTGGAGTGAAGTGAGACAATTTAAAAATGCCTCATCAAACAGTTCATTCTGTAAACTCTTTGAATGTGCCATGTCTGCCATGATACTACCCCACTCAAATGCTGACGTAGAAAGAGTTTTCAGTGCTATGAATTACATCAAATCTAACCTAAGAAACAGGATGAAATTAGACCTCTTAAATGCTATCTTGACAATAAAGTTTGGCCTGATGAGAGTAGGAAAATGCTGTTCCACTTATTAGCTCCCTGATTGTGTATTAAAAGAAATAGGAACAGCTAAAGCATACCAGAGTAATTTGGGATCTGAAGCTTCAACTTTATCATCCAAGCTAAGTTTATCCTGTGGATCTTGTGAAGCAGACATCAGTAAGGATGAGGACATGTGTCTATAGGGTAAGTCATTTCAATAGTTTTGTAATTTGTGACTCTTTTCATTTGGATATTTTTTTTTTAATATTTTCCACGCAAATTTAGATCTTTTTAGATATATTTTTTACCCCGTTTTGGATATTTTTTGTCAAAGAAAAGTGGCAACACTGGCGGCTATTTTCACGTGGGATTTTTGGTAAACAAACATGGCAAACTTGGCGCGCTGTTGCCAAAACCCTGGGCCAGTTGTACAATAACTACCATATATCGACACATTTACAACGGGCTAGTTGAAATGTCTCAGAACAAAAGATTCGCCAGCCATGAAGGTGGCTCCGGATTACCTGAGAAAAGCAAGTTGATCGTACCAGAGAAACGAGACTGCGGCTTCGTGGAAGGAAGTATCGTCCGCATTAAGTTGAGCAAGTTCTTGTGAGTGATACTTCAAACTGAAACTATATTAAACATAACATAATTCGGTGATGTCCAGGTTGACACCACACTTCTGTAACTTTCACACTTCCACTTTGTCGTTAATTCTTTTCGAACAGAATAAGTTGGGGACTGAAAAAAGGGGAAGGGAGAAGAGGAAAGGTCGAGGTTAGCATCTGAGGAGAACAGAAACAAAAAGATCGGCCGAGGTTTTGCAGTAGTCAGTAGACGAGTGTAACACATTAAACAAGCCATACAACCACTACAGCTGTCATGCAGCATTCATCCACACAAATATGCTGGATTGATGAAGTGACCAGTGAATATTATATTAAAATTGGGCTCTCCTTTGAACTTCTACCCCATATTATTGCGCCAAACATACCCTAACAGGGCCTCAGTCCTGTGTAAAATGCGTAGTTCCTGCTGAGGAACAAATCACTGCAAAACTAGGATCCGCTTCGAATAACGAAACAAATGCTCTAACAAGGTCTTCGCGATATGTTAATTGCGGACCTGTTTCTGCGACTATGGCGCACCGCTGACAGCATCCCAGGCGCTGCTAAGTGTGGCGGGGATGGGGAGCTAAACTAGATAGCTGGGGCTCATAAGCAGTAGCTACCGCATCTCCTGCAACTTCCTCCAATTTATTTGCTCGTGAGTCCCAGGCACATAGTTTAGATCCGCGCCGCGCGTAGCGGCACGGGATATGCACTGGACAGTGAGTTTAATCGGAAGAACACTATCCCTAATCTGCGTTGGAGAGCGTGGTCTTCCCGCCATCTCCATATTATCATCTGTAATGTTGCATGTCTCGAAATTGTCAATGGTCGCTAGTATCGTTTGCTCGTATCATCTGCAGAAACGCTCGAAATTATCAGCGGTCACTATTAATAATATTATTATTGTCTGCTACTATCGTCTGCAGTGTTGCATATCGTGACATTGTCAAGTATTCCTTGTTTTGCTGGGATGTGTTCGCTGCAGGAAGTCTGCATTTTACACACAATTTAGGCCCTGTTAGGGTATTTGTTTGGACGCCATAATATGGGGTAGAGAGCCGAATACTGGGCTATTCTCCGAATAAGGGCCACATGTTGATGTTAGAATATAGCGAACTAAATAAAATGGTAAAGAAAAGTGCCAGAAATGACAAGAAAAGTTTTATAGAAAATCTTGCAGAAACAGCAGAAAATGCTGCTAAAGCACATGATCTACAAACCCTACACAAAATTACCCAGCAAATTTGCGGAAACAGAAACAATTATCAAAGCATACCCATCAGAGATAACCAAGACAAACTGCTTACCACAGAACACAAACAAAACATGCAGTGGATTAAACACTTCTCTAACCTCTTGAATAGACCTGATCCTGAACATCCCCCAGATATTCAACCAGCCTCTTAGGACATTGACATTATTACTGAACCACCAAGCAAACAAGAAATCCTTAAAGCTATTCACACTTTAAAGAACAACAAAGCACCAGGCAAAGACGAACTGCCAGCAGAACTTCTCAAAGTAGATCCCAACACAACTGCTGGAATTCTAGAACCATTGTTCAAGGATATTTGGGAAAAAGAAGTGTTGCCTGATGACTGGACTGAAGGAACAATAGTCAAAATCCCCCAAAAAGATTTAACAGACTGCAATAATTGGAGGGGAATTACTCTACTCTCAGTACCAAGCAAAATATTTTGTAAAATATCATAATGCGGCTTGAAAAAGGAGTAGATAAATGCCTACGAGTGGAACAAGCAGGATTCAGAAAGGGCAGAGGAACAACTGAGCACATCTTCACCCTATGTAACATTTTAGAGCAATGCAATGAATGGCAGAGAAGTATATATATTAATTTTGTGGACTTTGAGAAAGCTTTTGACAGCGTCCATAGAGACGGTCTGTGGAAAATTTTACATTATGGAATTACAGAAAAAATAGTCAACATAATTGCTCTCTTATATAAAGACTTTTCTTGCAGTATAAAAAATTACAATACATCTTTGCCAGTAAAGACGGGTGTAAGACAGGGATGTGTTATGTCATCTCTCCTCTTCAACCTTGTGATTGATTGGATACTAAAGAACACAGAAGACAGGACATTAAGAGGCATACGATGGACTCCATTCACCATGCTTGAGGACCTTAATTTTGCAGATGATATTGCACTGCTATCACATAAACATGAACATACACAAGAGAAAAGTAACAGACTACACAGCATAGCAGAAATGGTGGGACTGAGAATAAATACAAAGAAAACTGAGATCATGACAAACAGTCCAAACCAACAACCAGTGACCATGTTTTTTGTTGGCACAGGAGCGGAGCAAGGATGGGGTGACCCGTTTGCTATGAAGCTGAAATTCAGATTACCAGATAAGTAACCAATTTCTTGAAAATGTAGAACATTTCACATATCTTGGCAGTGTAGTGTCCCTGCCGGGAGGGACCGAAGAGGACATACAGTCAGGTCTGAACAAAGCTAGAGCTTCTTTTGGAAGGATGAGGCAAATCTGCAAATCCAACAGTTACTGCAGAGGAACAAAATCCGACTCTACAAGAGCATCATTTTGCCAGTTCTTCTTTATGGAGCAGAATGCTGGAGAATGACCAAAAAGGATGTACACAAGCTGTCCACCTTCCACCACATATGTCTACGTAGAATTATCAAAATTTTCTGGCCAGATACAATCTCAAACACTAAACTACTTCAAGCCACAAACCAAGAAACTTTAGACAGTATGATTACCAAGAGAAGATGGAAATGGCTTGGCCACGTTATGAGAATGAATCCTGATATACCTGCCAAAACAGCTCTCACATGGACACCAGAGGGAAAGAGAAAAAAGGGGCGCCCAAAATCAACATGGAGACGAACGATGGAAAGTGACCTGAGTGCGGCATCTTTGACATGGAAAACTGCATTGAAGATTGCACAAGACAGGAAAGCATGGAAAGTCCTCTCTGAAGCCTCATGTGCCACTAGGCATAACGAGAACTGATGATGATGTTATGGTGGCCAAAAACACACCCAGACATGTCCTCAATTACATGTAAATTGCGGACTTCTTTCCGGCGAATATACTGCGGCAAATGTATGATACATTTCCGGTGAATGATGTAGCAGAATGCAACAAACCACCAAGTTCAACTCGCCCCCAAGAGTTTTCCCCACGCCGCACATAGCGGCGCGAAGTTAGGCTAGACTAGATGGCTGGGACTCAGGAGAAGTAACTAACTATTAATATTAATAACCATGCGCGCTCGACTTTATTGCGTTTGACAAAAATGGAAAATTGACACCTGTTGTGTATATATTATTTGGTACCAACTAATCAAAAAACTAAACGGCAAGTCACTGATCACAGAAAATACTGAGATCCAAGGCAGTAGAAAACTGTAGAAGATCAGGTTAGGAAAGGCGGTTTTTAGATGGGAAAACCCATTCTGTGTAGAATGTTATGAGCCAAATGATATCCATTTTCTACTCAACCTCTGACACACAATTCCATGTGGATCTCTCTCACCAAAACCCGGGGTTCACAGCCCATCCGCGAATGTCCTGCAAACCCTGTATGACATCTTTAATTGGCTCAAGTGTTTACACTCACAATCCATCCACACAACATGAGTGCTAGTGTGCACCCAGCCTCACCAAGCCCTGGCTTCATTAACTCTGTACACACCAAAGTGACTTTCACACAACAGTATAAAGTAGGATCTTTGAGTAAAGGACATTTGAACCTTTGCTGTCATAAAGCAGGACAGATGATAAACATACATTTGACTCTTTGCTGTCACATAGCAGGACAGATGATAAACATACATTTGAACCTTTGCTGTCACATAGTAGGACAGATGATAAACATACATTTGACTCTTTGCTGTACATAGCAGGACAGATGATAAACATACATTTGAACCTTTGCTGTCATATAGCAGGACAGATGATAAACATACATTTGACTCTTTGCTGTCACATAGCAGGACAGATGATAAACATACATTTGACTCTTTGCTGTCACATAGTAGGACAGATGATAAACATACATTTGAACCTTTGCTGTCACATAGCAGGACAGATGATAAACATACATTTGAACCTTTGCTGTCATATAGTAGGACAGATGATAAACATACATTTGAACCTTTGCTGTCATATAGCAGGACAGATGATAAACATACATTTGACTCTTTGCTGTCACATAGCAGGACAGATGATAAACATACATTTGAACCTTTGCTGTCATATAGTAGGACAGATGATAAACATACATTTGAACCTTTGCTGTCATAAAGCAGGACAGATGATAAACATACATTTGAACCTTTGCTGTCATATAGCAGGACAGATGATGGACGGACATTTAAATCTAAGTAGCCAATTAGTTAGCCACTCGGTCAACAGAATTTAAACTAAGTTTGTCATAAAGTAGGACTTTCAATGGACATGTTTGAACCAACATTTATTATTTAGTCAGATTCTCAGCCAGCAGACTTCACTCGCTTTCCAAATGAGGTTTTGTTGGACATTATATCACACATGCACAGTGGGTGGGCTGGTGAGTGCTGGGGTTTTGGGAAATGTGTCTCTGGTGGCCAGTGATTGAACAAATAATTTATATCAGTTTAAGATCGTTAAGTAGCTGTGTGTGACTGTTCTCTATGTGTGGTTGTTCTCTGTGTGTGTGGCTGTTCTCTATGTGTGACTGTTCTCAATGTGTGGTTGTTCTCTGTGTGTGTGACTGTTCTCTGTGTTGTGTGTGTGACTGTTCTCTGTGTTGTGTGTGTGACTGTTCTCTATGTGTGGTTGTTCTCTGTGTGTGTGACTGTTCTCTATGTGTGTTACTGTTCTCTGTGTGTGTAACTGTTCTCTGTGTGTGGTTGTTCTGTGTGTGTGTGTGACTGTTCTCTATGTGTGACTGTTCTCTGTGTGTGTGACTGTTCTCTGTGTGTGTAACTGTTCTCTGTGTGTGTAACTGTTCTCTGTGTGTGTGACTGTTCTCTGTGTGTGTGACTGTTCTCTGTGTGTGTGACTGTTCTCTGTGTGTGTGACTGTTCTCTGTGTGTGACTGTTCTCTGTGTGTGTGACTGTTCTCTGTGTGTGTGACTGTTCTCTGTGTGTGTGACTGTTCTCTGTGTGTGTGACTGTTCTCTGTGTGTGTGACTGTTCTCTGTGTGTGTAACTGTTCTCTGTGTGTGTGACTGTTCTCTGTGTGTGACTGTTCTCTGTTTTGTATGTGTGGCTGTTCTCTGTGTTGTGTGTGTGTGGCTGTTCTCTGTGTGTGTGTGACTGTTCTATGTGTTGTGTGTGTAGTTGTTCTGTGTGTGTGGCTGTTCTCTGTGTGTGTGACTGTTCTCTGTGTGTGTAACTGTTCTCTCTGTATGTGACTGTTCTCTGTGTGTGTAACTGTTCTCTATGTGTGGTTGTTCTGTGTGTGTGTGTGTGTGTGTGACTGTTCTCTATGTGTGACTGTTCTCTGTGTGTGTGACTGTTCTCTGTGTGTGTGACTGTTCTCTGTGTGTGTAACTGTTCTCTGTGTGTGTAACTGTTCTCTGTGTGTGTTACTGTTCTCTGTGTGTGTAACTGTTTTCTGTGTGTGTAACTGTTCTCTCTGTATGTGACTGTTCTCTGTGTATGTGACTGTTCTCTCTGTGTGTAACTGTTTTCTGTATGTGACTGTTTTCTGTGTGTGTGACTGTTCTCTGTGTGTGTGACTGTTCTCTGTGTTGTATGTGTGGCTGTTCTCTGTGTTGTGTGTGTGTGGCTGTTCTCTGTGTGTGTGTGACTGTTCTCTGTGTGTATGACTGTTCTATGTGTTGTGTGTGTAGTTGTTCTGTGTGTGTGGCTGTTCTCTGTCTGTGTGACTGTTCTCTGTGTGTGTGACTGTTCTCTGTGTTGTATGTGTGGCTGTTCTCTGTGTTGTGTGTGTGGCTGTTCTCTGTGTGTGTGTGACTGTTCTATGTGTGTATGACTGTTCTATGTGTTGTGTGTGTAGTTGTTCTCTGTGTGTGTGGCTGTTCTCTGTGTGTGTGATGTTCTCTGTGTCGTGTGTGTGGCTGTTCTCTGTGTGTGACTGTTCTCTGTGTGTGACTGTTTTCTGTGTGTGACTGTTCTCTGTGTGTGTGATTGTTCCCTATGCGTGTGACTGTTCTCTATGTGTGTGATTGTTCTCTATGTGTGTGACTTTTCTTTGTGTTTGACTGTTTTCTATGTGAATAACTGTGTGCCTGGTTTATGTGTTTGTGTATGTGTTTGTGTGTGTGTGTGTGCATATGAACTAGTGACAGGAACTGAAACATTGTTATATTTGAGCGTTGTCTCAGATAACGGACTAAATAATTTGTATTTTTGCAGGACATATGATTCCATTGAATTTAAGACTGGACCATATTTGAATGTCATCATTGGACCAAATGGAACTGGGAAATCTGCAATTGTCTGTGCCATTTGTCTCGGGCTAGCTGGAAAAACAAACACACTTGGTCGTGCATCAGAGCTGAAAGATTTTATCAAATATGGTGCAGAAAAAGCTTCTGTTGAAATTGAACTGTAAGTCTGAACATTTTAGAAAGCTATTGTCTCTGGTATTAGTTTATATCTGTGAACTCTTGGATTGTTGGATGTGTTGTTGACCGTAACTGTTCGTCTTTGAATTCTGCTTGAGCTCTGCTGCCATCTTTCTTGATAGGTCTAAGATAAAAAACTTGATTCTTGTCCCTGTATCAGCCTCTTGCCTCCAGTATCCATTGTCAACTCTCCTGTCCATCACTTATCAGTTTTGGCAACAATAATTACCTGTGTCATCATCTGTTTATATTTCTCTTTTTCTCGGGTCCCACAAACACGATGTTAGGAACCATGTCATTGTTGATATTTCTCTGTCCTCAGGTTAAACCAGATGATGCCAGGAACTATGTCATTGTTGATATTTCTCTGTCTCTCAGGTTTAACCCACATGATGCCAGGAACTGTGTCATTATTGATGTTTCTCTGTCCTCAGGTTCAACCTACATGATGCCAGGAACTATGTTATTGTAGATATTTCTCTGTCCTCAGGTTCAGCCTACACGATGCCAGGAACTATGTCATTGTTGATATTTCTCTTTCTGTCAGGATTAACCCCCATGATGCCAAGAACTGTCATTTTTTTATATTTCTCTGTCCGTCAGGTTTAATCCACATGATGCCAGAAACTATGTCATTCGACGAGAGATAACCAGCAGTAACAGCTCTCACTGGTGGTTCAATGGACAGGCCACCACACTCAAAGCGGTATTGTTTCAGTTTGTTGACTTATTACTTCATGTCTGCTATCAGTTGTTGGGTATTGTTTTATTGATCTGCCTATCCAAGCATGCAAAGACTACTGTTGGCAGAATGCGCGGAGGAATCCATATTTGGTTCAATGGGCAAGAAGGCGACACTAGCAAAGCGCGTAGAGCATGGCGAGGCATGTAGAACGCCCTGGTCATCCACTGCACCTAGACATATCTCCAGTCGTCCTGACTCTGTCTTGCCACTGGACCCAGATATGACTTAGGCGATATGAGTGAGGTCAATGACACTGCGCAACTCTTCATCACTTTAATCCAAGTCACCACGCAAGTCACTCTTTCTTCTTCATGGACAACAACACAAATTGTTTCCGTTTATTGACACTTGACTTCTTGTCTGCTATCACTTTTTGGGGATTGTTTCAGTTTATTGACACTTGACTTCTTGTCTGCTATCACTTTTTTGGGGATTGTTTCAGTTTATTGACACTTGACTTCTTGTCTGCTATCACTTTTTGGGGATTGTTTCAGTTTATTGACACTTGACTTCATGACTGCTATCACTTGTTGGGGATTGTTTCAGTTTGTTGACACTTGACTTCATGTCTGCTATCACTTTTTGGGGATTGTTTCAGTTTATTGACACTTGACTTCATGTCTGCTATCACTTGTTGGGGATTGTTTCAGTTTATTGACACTTGACTTCATGTCTGCTATCACTTGTTGGGGATTGTTTCAGTTTATTGACACTTGACTTCATGTCTGCTATCACTTTTTGGGGATTGTTTCAGTTTATTGACATTTGACTTCATGTCTGCTATCACTCGTTGGGGATTGTTTCAGTTTATTGACACTTGACTTCTTGTCTGCTATCACTTGTTGGGGATTGTTTCAGTTTATTGACACTTGACTTCATGTCTGCTATCACTTGTTGGGGATTGTTTCAGTTTATTGACACTTGACTTCTTGTCTGCTATCACTTTTTGGGGATTGTTTCAGTTTATTGACACTTGACTTCATGTCTGCTATCACTTATTGGGGATTGTTTCAGTTTATTGACACTTGACTTCATGTCTGCTATCACTTGTTGGGGATTGTTTCAGTTTATTGACACTTGACTTCATGTCTGCTATCACTTTTTGGGGATTGTTTCAGTTTATTGAAATTTGACTTCATGTCTGCTATCACTCGTTGGGGATTGTTTCAGTTTATTGACACTTGACTTCTTGTCTGCTATCACTTGTTGGGGATTGTTTCAGTTTATTGACACTTGACTTCATGTCTGCTATCACTTTTTGGGGATTGTTTCAGTTTGTTGACACTTGACTTCATGTCTGCTATCACTTGTTGGGGATTGTTTCAGTTTATTGACACTTGACTTCATGTCTGCTATCACTTGTTGGGGATTGTTTCAGTTTATTGACACTTGACTTCATGTCTGCTATCACTTGTTGGGGATTGTTTCAGTTTATTGACACTTGACTTCATGTCTGCTATCACTTTTTGGGGATTGTTTCAGTTTATTGACATTTGACTTCATGTCTGCTATCACTCGTTGGGGATTGTTTCAGTTTATTGACACTTGACTTTTTGTCTGCTATCACTTGTTGGGGATTGTTTCAGTTTATTGACACTTGACTTCATGTCTGCTATCACTTTTTGGGGATTGTTTCAGTTTGTTGACACTTGACTTCATGTCTGCTATCACTTGTTGGGGATTGTTTCAGTTTATTGACACTTGACTTCATGTCTGCTATCACTTGTTGGGGATTGTTTCAGTTTATTGACACTTGACTTCTTGTCTGCTATCACTTTTTGGGGATTGTTTCAGTTTATTGACACTTAACTTCATGTCTGCTATCACTTGTTGGGGATTGTTTCAGTTTATTGACACTTGACTTCTTGTCTGCTATCACTTGTTGGGGATTGTTTCAGTTTATTGACACTTGACTTCATGTCTGCTATCACTTGTTGGGGATTGTTTCAGTTTATTGACACTTGACTTCATGTCTGCTATCACTTGTTGGGGATTGTTTCAGTTTATTGACACTTGACTTCATGTCTGCTATCACTTGTTGGGGATTGTTTCAGTTTATTGACACTTGACTTCATGTCTGCTATCACTTGTTGGGGATTGTTTCAGTTTATTGATACTTGACTTCATGACTGCTATCACTTGTTGCATATTGTTTCAGTTTATTGACACTTAACTTCATGTCTGCTATCACTTGTTGGGGATTGTTTCACTTTATTGACACTTTACTTCATGTCTGCTATCACTTGTTGGGGATTGTTTCAGTTTATTGACACTTGACTTCTTGTCTGCTATCACTTTTTAGGGATTGTTTCAGTTTATTGACACTTGACTTCTTGTCTGCTATCACTTTTTGGGGATTGTTTCAGTTTATTGACACTTGACTTCATGTCTGCTATCACTTTTTGGGGATTGTTTCAGTTTATTGACATTTGACTTCATGTCTGCTATCACTTGTTTGGGGATTGTTTCAGTTTATTGACACTTGACTTCTTGTCTGCTATCACTCGTTAGGGATTGTTTCAGTTTATTGACACTTGACTTCTTGTCTGCTATCACTTGTTGGGGATTGTTTCAGTTTATTGACACTTGACTTCATGTCTGCTATCACTTGTTGGGGATTGTTTCAGTTTGTTGACACTTGACTTCATGTCTGCTATCACTTGTTGGGGATTGTTTCAGTTTATTGACACTTGACTACATGTCTGCTATCACTTGTTGGGGATTGTTTCAGTTTATTGACACTTGACTTCTTGTCTGCTATCACTTTTTGGGGATTGTTTCAGTTTATTGACACTTGACTTCTTGTCTGCTATCACTTGTTGGGGATTGTTTCAGTTTATTGACACTTAACTTCATGTCTGCTATCACTTGTTGGGGATTGTTTCAGTTTATTGATACTTGACTTCATGACTGCTATCACTTGTTGCATATTGTTTCAGTTCATTGACACTTGACTTCATGTCTGCTATCACTTGTTGGGGATTGTTTCAGTTTATTGATACTTGACTTCATGACTGCTATCACTTGTTGCATATTGTTTCAGTTCATTGACACTTGACTTCATGTATGCTATCACTTGTTGGGGATTCTTTCAGTTTGTTGACACTTGACTTCATGTCTGCTATCACTTATTGGGAATTGTTTCAGTTTGTTGACACTTGACTTCATGTCTGCTATCACTTGTTAAATATTGTTTCAGTTGAAGCAGGTGGACACTGGCACAGTCAGACCAACTCTGGAAAATGCATCATTGTCATGGATAACAGCAGCCCATTCCAATAAACAGGTACAGGGCAAAACGCAAAACCGAAGTCTGCATACAATCCACACCTGTTGTAGAAATGGCAGCCAACATTCTTCCCTTAGAAGAAAGAAGAAGGATAAAAGCAATTCTACATGCTGACAAAATGAAACACCAACTGCATGACGAATTGGCAGCCAGAACAAAGAATCAAATAAAGCACACAAGCCCAAACCATCTTCACCACTAAACCAACAATGTGCAGCCGAAGAGCTATTTTTCTATATTTGGGGCTCAGAATCATTGACACTCAATGTTTCAACTTGCAACCCGAACTTGGGAAACAAAGATGCTGAGCTCAATTTAGTGAAGAAAGCACTCACAATGGAACACCTCAACAACATGTTCCCACAGGAGAGTTGGACGAGAATCTACACAGATGGATCATCAAAAGAGGCAACTACAAATGATAGGGCAGGTGTTTACATTAAACACCCAGATGCCACTACTGTGTCCCTGGCAGCCCCAACAGGATGAACTTGCTCTAACTACAAGGCAGAGCTGATCTCTCAGTCATACTAATGGCAGCCCAATATGTGAACAAGCTGCAAATCACTGCAGGCAAGATGGTTTTTCTCAGAGATTCACTGTCAGGCTCATACAGGCTCTTGAGTCCAAACCTACAGTCAGCATACAACAGTCTAACAAAGGTACTTGCTGTATTGTCAAAAAAGGCAGAAACTAACCTGCAGTGGATTCCATCTCACTGTGACATCAAAGGCTTTGAAAGAGCTGATGCTTTAGCCAAGGAAGGCAGCAGCAAACCACAAATCTACCAACCACTATCTTTTCCAGAAGTCAAAATTCTCATTAAGAGAAAATCAGAAACGGATTGGAAAACAACACAGGTTATAACCATGAAAAAGATTTCCTCACAAACCTGAAAAGAACAGACCAAGTCACAGTTTTTCGCTTTTGCACTGGACGCAGCAGACTCAACAGACACTCATTTAAATTAGGTATGCGCCAGACAACTCTCTGTCAATGTCTTCATGCCGAACAGACTCTAGAACATGTCTTGCCAGACTGTCCTCTCTTGGAAGAGCAACATGTGGCCACACCCAGTAGAACTTACTTCTACGCTTTGGTTAAACCTAAGAGATCTTGAGATGACATCCCAGTTTATGGCCCACAGTAGATTATGTGCATGACCAGAGATTGCTGAAGAAGATTGATGTGCCTGCTGTTGTAATGTTCAGATTAAAATGTCTGTTATTGTATTGCTTAGATTGAAATGTCTTCTGTTGTATTGTTTAGATTGAAGTGTCTGCTGTTATATTGTTTAAATGCACATGTCTGTTGTTGTATTGTTTAGGTTGAAGAGTCTGCTGTCATATTATTTAGATTTAAATGTCTGCTGTTGTATTGTTTCAGTTGACTTGTCTCCTATTGTATTGTTTAAATTAAATTGTCTGTTTTTGTATTGTTTAGATTGAAGAGTCTTGTTGTATTGTTTAGATTGGAGTAACTTGTTTTATTGTTTAGATACATGTGTCTGCTGTTATATTGCTTACATTGAAGTGCCTCCTGTTTTATTATTTAGATTGAAGTGTCTCCTGTGATTGAATTGTCCGCTGTTATATTGGTTAGATTGAAATGTCTGCTGTCGAATTGTTTAGATTGAAGAGTTGGTATCCCGCCTGAAGATCCAGGTGGGTAACCTGTGCCAGTTTCTGCCACAGGAGAAGGTCGCTGACTTTGCTCGTATGTCCCAGCAGGAACTCTTGGAAAACACAGAAAAATCAGTCAGTATACATTTCATATATTGATTAACATTTCATATGCTTGTAAGATTTCATATGTTGTGTGAAACCTCCTTACAACATAGCATTTCATATGTTGTGTAAGTGGGTATACCACGTAAACAAGACTTTTCCAAATAAATGTCTGAGGGGAATCCTGCAAATATTTTAGCCAGACAAGATCACAAATGAAAAACTATGGAGAAAAAAAAATGTTTATGACTAGCAAATGTTATCAAAGAAAGAAGATGGAGTTGGCTCGGACATGCTTGCAATCTCATGAGACTTTGGCAGGGACACTCTCCAGTGGATGGCAGATGGAAATCAGAAGGAGACTAGGAAAGAAAACTTGGAGAAGGACAGTAGAAAGGAAAATGAAGGAATGTAAACCGACAGGCGATCATGGGCAGAAAAGCAGCAGGTCAGCAGCGATGGAGATCACTTGAGAGCAGGATGTCCCCAAGCTGCACAGAAATTATGGACTGGGACAAACTGAAGAATGCTTGGCTAGAACAGGAAGTGACATTTTACCAGGTAGTTTTTTAAAATGTCCTGGTATTTAATAAGAAAAAAACAACAACGATCTTATATAAAAATTCTTTATTGCAGCCAAAAGTCACTCACAAATTTACATTATTTCTCAATCAACAGTCACCATTGACTCCAACACATTTTTTGATAGTGCTGCAAACATTTGTGAGCTGAAGCCAGGGGTTTTTGCTTCTGTTCATCGGTTAATGTTTTCTGTACCCATCTGTCACAAACATTTGTGAGCCGAAGCCAGGGGTTTTTGCTTCTGTTCATCGGTTAACGTTTTCTGTACCCATCTGTCACAAACAATTTTTGTATTCAAGGTTTCTTGTCACAATGGCGTAAATCAGTCAACAGAAAACTTCTGAAAAATCCACAAACACAGAAGTTGGGAAATGCCGATTTAGCTAAATTTCTTTTTTGTTCACTTCTTCAACCAAGTCGTCTGTCACCACACTCGGCTGATCGCTATGATCTTAATCATGGATTTTTTATTTGTAAACATTCAGCACCATTTCCTAACCACACAATCAGTCATAACATCTGGTCCTTAAACCTCAGTGAGTTGCCTGTGAATTTCTACAGCACAGTTGTTTTGTCCTAATAAAAACAAAAACGGATCACAGCACGAACTTCGCAGCTTGCAGGAGTATTTATTTGTGCACTCCCACGCGGCTTCAGACAAGATTTTGACAGTGAAAAAAAAAAAATAACACATAACTAGCTAATGAACCATATGAGTATACTGCATAGGCACATTTATGTTTTCCATCGGTGTTTGTCGCTGTGGTAAAAACAGGACCTACTTAAAAAACGAGAGAAAGTCTTTTCTGGAGAAAAAAGCCATTGCCAAGTACCATTATCAGCGAAGTACTAAATACAACACACACTAACTGGAAAACTCAACAGGCAAGACAGCAGAACTTGCAAACAGTAATGAAACCAGAAATACTTACAAGGAGAAAATCTGAACATGAAGGACTAAATGATTAGATATAGCTAATACACACACACACGCACACACACACGCACAGGCATGCACACACACACACACAGGCACAGGCATGCACACACACACACACAGGCACAGGCATGCACACACGCACGCACAGGCATGCACACACACACACAAAAAGAAATATGAAATAATTAAACAAAGATGCACAGAATAGTAATTCCTGCAGAACTGAGACCGCCAGATTAAAAGGATTTTCTAAGTAACGAAGCTTAATTGATCTCCAGAGCAAGATTTTATGGCAGTAACAGAGATATCACTTTTACCTTTGTGTTGGGGGGGGGGGGGGGGGGCTGTGTGCTCTAAACACTACACAACAACAGACATCTCTGGTGGGCTGTGTGTCCTAAATACTACACCACAAGACACATCTCTGATGGGCTTTGTGCTCTAAACACTACAACACAATACAGACACATCTCTGGTGGGCTGCCTGCTTGAAACACTACACCACAACAGACATCTCTGGGGGGGGGGGGGGAAGCTGTGTGCCCTAAACATCACACCAGGACACACATATCTGGTGGGCTGTTTGCCTTAAGCACTACACCACATCATGATATGAATTCTTTCAATGTTTAATGACATCAGTTGTTCTAGTTCATGATTTTGGAATGTCAACAATGCCAGGTTGGCAGAACAGACTTGTTTGAGAGCCACCGTTTGCTGAAGACAGCACGGCAGACAGCCAGACACTTGGAGCAAGATGTCACCAAGCTGCACACAAACTTGGACCAGGAGAAGCAGAAAAATGCTCGGCTGGAGCAGGAAGTGAAATCTTACAAGGACAGGAAGTCATTCCTGGAAAAAGTAGCCGTCCTCAAGATGAAAAAATCTTGGCTGGTTAGTTGTTTACTTGTCATTATATCTTGGCTGGTTAATTGTTTGTCTTGGCCGGTTAATTGTTTGTCTTGGCCGGTAAATTGTTTGTCTTGGCTGGTTAATTGTTTGTCTTGGCCGGTTAATTGTTTGTCTTGGCCGGCTAATTGTTTGTCTTGGCCGGTTAATGTTTGTCTTGGCTGGTTAATTGTTTGTCTTGGCCGGTTAATTGTTTGTCTTGACCGGTTAATTGTTTGTCTTGGCCGGTAAATTGTTTGTCTTGGCCGGCTAATTGTTTGTCTTGGCCGGTTAATTGTTTGTCTTGGCCGGTTAATTGTTTGTCTTGGCCGGTTAATTGTTTGTCTTGGCCGGTTAATTGTTTGTCTTGGCCGGTTAATTGTTTGTCTTGGCCGGTTAATTGTTTGTCTTGGCCGGCTAATTGTTTGTCTTGGTCGGTTAATTGTTTGTCTTAGCCGATTAATTGTTTGTCTTGGCCGGTAAATTGTTTGTCTTGGCCGGTAAATTGTTTGTCTTGGCCGGTTAATTGTTTGTCTTGGTCGGTTAATTGTTTGTCTTGGCCGGCTAATTGTTTGTCTTGGCCGGTTAATTGTTTGTCTTGGCCGGTTAATTGTTTGTCTTGGCTGGTCACTTGTTTGTTTGTCATCAAATCTTTGCTGGTTATTTATTTGTCATTATCTTTGCTCGTTAGTTTTTCGTTGTTAAAACTTGGCAATTAGTTATGTATTGATCATGAAATCTTGGTCAGTTAGTTGTTAGTTTGTCATCAGATCTTGACAGATTATCTTGCAGACACTGCGGTTGTTATCGTTGGTCCAGTACTGGACAGAATCCATGTTATCAGTACCATGCACAGCACTTACTGTTACAACGATCACTCAGAGGGCATAACTCCATTTCTCTGCCTAGGCTGATGGACATCGGGGTTGCAGCCTGGAGCTGCAAGACATGAACATTTCACTTGTCAAGACAAAACAGGTGTCATCTGTCATTTTACACTTGTGGTAGCTTTCGAGGAAGAAATCGGAGAACATGTGAATCAGTCTGGAGTCTTGTGACTATAATCCTTACTAATCACTTGTTTATTTGTCATCAAATCTTGTCCAGTTAGTTGTTTGTTTGTCATAAAATCTTGTCCAGTTAGTTGTTTGTCAGCAGATCTTGTCCAGTTAGTTGTTTGTTTGTCATCAAATCTTGTCCAGTTAGTTGTTTATTTGTCATCAAATCTTGTCCAGTTAGTTGTTTGTCAGCAGATCTTGTCCAGTTAGTTGTTTGTTTGTCATCAAATCTTGTCCAGTTAGTTGTTAATTTGTCATCAAATCTTGGCCAGTTAGTTGTTTATTTGTCATCAAATCTTGGCCATTTAGTTGTTTATTTGTCATCAAATCTTGGCCGGTTAGTTGTTTATTCGTCATCAAATCTTGTCCAGTTAGTTGTTTGTTTGTCATCAAATCTTGTCCAGTTAGTTGTTTGTTTGTCATCAAATCTTGTCCAGTTAGTTGTTTGTTTGTCATCAAATCTTGGCCGGTTAGTTGTTTATTTGTCATCAAATCTTGGCCGGTTAGTTGTTTATTTGTCATCAAATCTTGGCCGGTTAGTTGTTTATTTGTCATCAAATCTTGGCCGGTTAGTTGTTTATTTGTCATCAAATCTTGGCCGGTTAGTTGTTTATTTGTCATCAAATCTTGGCCGGTTAGTTGTTTATTCGTCATCAAATCTTGGCTAGCTAGTTGTTTATTTGTCATCAAATCTTGGCTAGCTAGTTGTTTATATTGTGGAAAAGTGTTTAAATAAGAAAGACAAAAGTCCAACCACAATTACATGTTCTGGAGAATAGGCTTGTTAATCAGAGTGGTTCAAAGTTCAGCACATGATGATTGTGTTCTCTCTTCTGTAAACCGTCTGCTACTTGGGAGTCTCATCTTTATCTGACAGGCTACAGAATGCAGGCCAAGGTTTTCACATCATAGAATGGGGAGTATGAAACACGTATCACAGAATGGGGAGTATGACACACATGACAGAATGGGGAGTATGACACACATATCACAGAATGGGGAGTATGACACACATCACAGAATGGGGAGCATGACACACATATCACAAAATGGGGAGCATGACACACACCACAGAATGGGGAGCATGAAACACATATCACAGAATGGGGAGTATGACACACATATCACAGAATGGGGAGTATGACACACACATATCACAGAATGGGGAGTATGACACACATATCACAGAATGGGGAGTATGAAACACACACATCACAGAATGAGGAGCATGACACACACATCACATAATGGGGAGCATGACACACATATCACAGAATGGGGAGTATGTCACACACATATCACAGAATGGAGAGTATGACACACATATCACAGAATGGGGAGTATGACACACACATATCACATAATGGGGAGTATGACACACACATATCACAGAATGGGAAGTATGACACACACATATCACAGAATGGGGAGCATGACACACACATCACAGAATGAGGAGCATGACACACAAACATCACAGAATGGGGAGTATGACACACATATCACAGAATGGGGAGCATGACACACACATATTACAGAATGGGGAGTATGACACACAAACATCACAGAATGGGGAGTATGACACACATATCACAGAATGGGGAGTATGATACACACATATCACAGAATGGAGAGTATGACACACATATCACAGAATGGGGAGTATGACACACATATCACAGAATGGGCAGTATGACACACATATATCACAGAATGGGCAGTATGACACACATATCACAGAATGGGGAGTATGACACACACATATCACAGAATGGGGAGTATGACACATACGTATCACAGAATGGGGAGTATGACACACACATATCACAGAATGGAGAGTATGACACACATATATCACAGAATGGGGAGTATGACACACACATATCACAGAATGGGGAGTATGACACACACATATCACAGAATGGAGAGTATGACACACACATATCACAGAATGGGGAGTATGACACACACATATCACAGAATGGGGAGTATGACACACACATATCACAGAATGGAGAGTATGACACACACATATCACAGAATGGAGAGTATGACACACATATATCACAGAATGAAGAGTATGACACATATATATCACAGAATGGGGATTATGATACACACATATCACAGAATGGGGAGCATGACACACACATATCACAGAATGGGGAGTATGACATACACATATCACAGAATGGAGAGTATGACACACATATCACAGAATGGGGAGTATGAAACACACACATATCACAGAATGGGGAGTATGAAACACACACATATCACAGAATGGGGAGTATGACACACACATATCACAGCATGGGGAGTACGAAACACATATCACAGAATGGGGAGTATGAAACACATATCACAGAATGGGGAGTATGAAACACACTTTACAGAATGGGGAGTATAAGGCACACATCACAGAATGGAGAGTATGACACACACCACAGAATGGGGAGTATGACACACATATCACATAATGGGGAGTATGACACACATATCACAGTATGGGGAGTTTGAAACACACACATATCACAGAATGGGGAGTATGAAACACACACATATCACAGAATGGGGAGTATGACACACATATCACAGAATGGGGAGTATGACACACACATATCACAGAATGGGGAGTATGAAACACACACATATCACAGAATGGGGAGTATGACACACACATATCACAGCATGGGGAGTATGAAACACACACACATCACAGAATGGGGAGTATGAGGCACACATCACAAAATGGGGGAGTATGAGGCACACAACATCATGGAAATGTCCCTCTTAATGGGAGAATCTGAAAAGAAGAGTTCATTGGGACCATTTTGACCCTTTTTTCACATGATTCTGCAAGCTGTATGAGAGGAACAGGGAGGCATGCAAACCTCATGCACACTGTTTATGGTTTACAAATGGGAAAGCTGTCTGTCTACCTTGCATTCTCTCATTCTGTCTGCACATACATACACATCTGTCTTGTTTACTCATTGACATACGCTCTAATATATGCAATTATATCTCAGGAATATGGGACATTGAGAAGTCTTTACGACAGAGCTCGAGCAGAGAGAGACAAGCAACAGGAAGTTGTCAAAGAGGAACTCAAGAAACTGGCTCCGTTAGAGACTAAACACCGAACCTTGAAGGGGCGGAGAGATGAGTGGGAGCAGACTACCAGAGACATGGTGAGTGTGTGTTCATGTCACTGAATACAGTAACCACAGTTCATCTGTCAAAGACAGATAGAACACACCCTGTGTGTTCACATCACTGAATACAGTAACCACAGTTCATCTGTCAAAGACAGATAGAACACACCCTGTGTGTTCATGTCACTGAATACAGTAATCACAGTTCATCTGTCACAGACAAACAGAACAGACCGTGTGTGTTCAGGTCACTGGATACAGCAACCACAGTTCATCTGTCAACAGGGTTCGTAGCTGACCTGGAAACTTGAAATTAACCGTGGAATTGTGGCCCCGACCTTGAACCTTATTTTCTTTTTACCTTGGAAAAGACATGCTGACCTTGAAAAGCCTGGAATTTTGACGCAGCAATGAAATCCTCTGAAAATCATGCGATTTACGGCAGTTATGATTTTTTCAGGCATTTTGCTAGTTTCAGCTACTTTTGCTTACAGCCGTTTCAGGTGTGAGGGCAGTTGAATATTGTATTGAACAGCATTCTTTTAGCGTTCATATTCACATACCTGCATTTTTAAATTGGTGCCATTTGGCCCAAAACTTGATTTGCTTTGCATCTTGGCTGAATTTCTTTATTAATTCTTCCGTCTTCTGAAAAAATGCTCCCCAGATATGTTAAATACTTCGCCTGCATTAACTGGTGTTCATCAGTTTTTATATTGATGGTTCTTCTTTTTCTGGAGAATGTCATCACCTTTGTTTTGTCTGGTTGATCTTCATATCAAAGTTGTCGGATTCTAAGTCGAGTCTGTTGATATGTTTTTGTAGTTGTTCTGCTGTTGGTGCTAAGATTGCCTAGTCATCGATGAAAATCAATTCATTTAGTAATTCTCCGATGTTGTCCCATTCGCTGCTGTTGTCCCATTCGCTGCTGTTGTCCCATTCGCTGCTGTTGTCCCATTCGCTGTTGTTAGCGGATTTGCAAATGTGGTCGACGTATGTGATTAACAGTAGTGGTGATTAAAAAAAAACCTCTGTCTCACTCGAGATCTAATGTAGAACCTTTCTGACATTCCTGTATTTGTTCTAACTGCATTGACTGTTCACATATAAACTTGCATAATTTAATAAGATGTTTGTTTCCTACAGAATCCTTCCATAATTTATTCCATTTAACTATCGAAAGCTTTTCTTTTGGTCTACAGCAGCTGCAACATGTTTTTCTTTATGAAATTCTGCCCTCCTTTTCACTAATTGTCTAATTGGCATCAGTACAGCTTCTCTTCTCCCATTTATCTCATTGTCAAGTGGGATGTAATAATCTCATTGTTAAGTGTGATGTAGAAATCTCATTGTTAAGTGGGATGTAATAACCTCATTGTTGAGTGTGATGTATAAATCTCATTGTTAAGTGGGATGTAATAATCTCATTGTTGAGTGTGACGCAATAATCTCATTGTTGAGTGTGATGTAGAAATTGTTGAGGGTGATGTAGAAATCTCATTGTTGAGTGTGATGCAATAATCTCATTGTTGAGTGTGATGCAATAATCTCATTGTTGAGTGTGATGTAGAAATTGTTGAGTGTGATGTAGAAATCTCATTGTTAAGTGGGATGTAATAATCTCATTGTTGAGTGTGATGTAGAAATCTCATTGTTAAGTGGGATGTAATAATCTCATTGTTGAGAGTGATTTAGAAATCTCATTGTTAAGTGGGATGTAATAATCTCATTGTTGAGTGTGATGTAGAAATCTCATTGTTGAGTGTGATGTAGAAATCTCATTGTTGAGTGTGATGCAATAATCTCATTGTTGAGTGTGATGCAATAATCTCATTGTTGAGTGTGATGTAGAAATCTCATTGTTGAGTGTGATGTAGAAATCTCATTGTTGAGTGTGATGCAATAATCTCATTGTTGAGTGTGATGCAATAATCTCATTGTTAAGTGTGATGCAACAATCTCATTGTTAAGTGTGATACAATAATCTCATTGTTGAGTGTGATGCAATAATCTTATTGTTGAGTGTGATGTGTAGAAATCTCATTGTTGGGTATGATGATCTGTCCTCTAGGCACAGAGAATTCAAGCCAAAGCCAGAGATTTGAAGGAACAAAGTAACCTGATGATAACTGCCAATGATAAGGTATGGACAGAATTCACTCTACGTTTTCATTATAACAGTATTTGTTTAAGGTATGTTGGTTGCTGATTGTTTTCACTTGTTCCACACACAATTATGGGATGTTTTGTTTAGGTGTATCGGTTGCTGATTGTTTGCACTGATGTTTTTATTTGTTCAATGCAAAATAATGGGATGTTTTTTAGTTATGTTGGTCGCTGATTGTTTTCACTAGTTCCATACAAAATTATGGGATGTTTTGTTTAGGTCGCTGATTGTTTTCACTTGTTCCGCTCACAATTATGGGATGTTTTGGAGGTAGCTGATTGTTTTCACTTATTCCATACAAAATTATGTGATGTTTTGTTCAGTTTTGGCGGTCGCTGATTGTTTTCACTTATTCCATACAAAATTATGGGATGTTTTGTTTAGTTTTGGCGGTCGCTGATTGTTTTCACTTATTCCATACCAAATGATGGGATGTTTTGTTTAATTATACCATACATGATGAACTCAGAACCTAATACTGGACATAATAAACACAGAATCTGATCTGGATGTTTTGAACACAGAATCTGATACTGGATGTTGTAAACACAGAATCTGAAACTGGATGTTGTGAACGCAGAATCTGAAACTGGATGTTGTGAACACAGAATCTGATACTGGATGTTGTGAACACAGTATCCAATACTGGACATTATGAACACAGAATCCAATACTGGACATTAGGAGCATTTTAATACTGTACATTGTGAGCATACAATCTAATACTGGACATTGTGAGCATAGAATCTAATACTGGATGTTGTAAGCATAGAATCTAATACTGTACATTGTGAGCATAGAATCTGATACTGGATGTTGTGAACACAGTATCAAATACTGGACATTGTGAGCATAGAATCTAATACTGGACATTGTGAGCATAGAATCTAATACTGGACATTGTGAGCATAGAATCTAATACTGGACATTTGGAGCATAGAATCTAATACTGGACATTAGGAGCATAGAATCTAATACTGTACATTGTGAGCATAGACTCTAATACTGTACATTGTGAGCATAGAATCTAATACTGGACATTGTGAGCATAGAATCTAAAACTGGACATTGTGAGCATAGAATCTAATACTGGACATTGTGAGCATAGAATCTAATACTGTACATTGTGAGCATAGAATCTAAAACTGGACATTGTGAGCATAGAATTTAATACTGGACATTGTGAGCATAGAATCTAATACTGTACATTGTGAGCATAGAATCTAATACTGTACATTGTGAGCATAGAATCTAATACTGTACATTGTGAGCATAGAATCTAATACTGTACATTGTGAGCATAGAATCTAATACTGTACATTGTGAGCATAGAATCTAATACTGTACATTGTGAGCATAGAATCTAATACTGGACATTGTGAGCATAGAATCTAATACTGTACATTGTGAGCATAGAATCTAATACTGGACATTGTGAGCATAGAATCTAATACTAGACATTAGGAGCATAGAATCTAATACTGGACATTGTGAGCATAGAATCTAATACTGGACATTGTGAGCATAGAATCTAATACTAGACATTAGGAGCATAGAATCTAATACTGGACATTGTGAGCATAGAATCTAATACTGTACATTGTGAGCATAGAATCTAATACTGGACATTGTGAGCATAGAATCTAATACTAGACATTGTGAGCATATAATCTAATACTGGACATTGTGATCATATAATCTAATACTGGACATTGTGAGCATAGAATCTAATACTGGACATTGTGAGCATAGAATCTAATACTGGACATTGTGAGCATAGAATCTAATACTGGACATTGTGAGCATAGAATCTAATACTGTACATTGTGAGCATAGAATCTATTACTGGACATTGTGAGCATAGAATCTAATACTGGACATTGTGAGCATAGAATCTAATACTAGACATTGTGAGCATAGAATCTAATACTGGACATTGTGAGCATAGAATCTAATACTGGACATTGTGAGCATAGAATCTAATACTGGACATTGTGAGCATAGAATCTAATACTGTACATTGTGAGCATAGAATCTAATACTGTACATTGTGAGCATAGAATCTAATACTGGACATTGTGAGCATAGAATCTAATACTGGACATTGTGAGCATAGAATCTAATACTGTACATTGTGAGCATAGAATCTAATACTGGACATTGTGAGCATAGAATCTAATACTGGACATTGTGAGCATAGAATCTAATACTGGACATTGTGAGCATAGAATCTAATACTGGACATTGTGAGCATAGAATCTAATACTGGACATTGTGAGCATAGAATCTAATACTGGACATTGTGAGCATAGAATCTAATACTGTACATTGTGAGCATAGAATCTTTTACTGGACATTGTGAGCATAGAATCTAATACTGGACATTGTGAGCATAGAATCTAATACTAGACATTGTGAGCATAGAATCTAATACTGGACATTGTGAGCATAGAATCTATTACTGGACATTGTGAGCATAGAATCTAATACTGGACATTGTGAGCATAGAATCTAATACTAGACATTGTGAGCATAGAATCTAATACTGGACATTGTGAGCATAGAATCTAATACTGGACATTGTGAGCATAGAATCTAATACTGTACATTGTGAGCATAGAATCTAATACTGTACATTGTGAGCATAGAATCTAATACTGGACATTGTGAGCATAGAATCTAATACTGGACATTGTGAGCATAGAATCTAATACTGGACATTGTGAGCATAGAATTTAATACTGGACATTGTGAGCATAGAATCTAATACTGGACATTAGGAGCATAGAATCTAATACTGGACATTGTGAGCATATAATCTAATACTGGACATTAGGTGCATTTTAATACTGTACATTGTGAGCATAGAATCTAATACTGGACATTGTGAGCATAGAATCGAATACTGGACATTGTGAGCATAGAATCTAATACTGGACATTGTGAGCATAGAATCTAATACTGGACATTGTGAGCATAGAATTTAATACTGGACATTGTGAGCATAGAATCTAATACTGGACATTAGGAGCATAGAATCTAATACTGGACATTGTGAGCATATAATCTAATACTGGACATTAGTAGCATTTTAATACTGGACATTGTGAGCATAGAATCTAATACTGGACATTGTGAGCATAGAATCTAATACTGGACATTGTGAGCATAGAATTTAATACTGGTTATTGTGAGCATAGAATCTAATACTGGACATTAGGAGCATAGAATCTAATACTGTACATTGTGAGCATAGAATCTAATACTGGACATTGTGAGCATAGAATCTAATACTGGACATTGTGAGCATAGAATTTAATACTGGACATTGTGAGCATAGAATTTAATACTGGACATTGTGAGCATAGAATCTAATACTGGACATTAGGAGCATAGAATCTAATACTAGACATTGTGAGCATAGAATCTTATACTGGACATTGTGAGCATAGAATCTAATACTGGACATTAGGAGCATTGAATCTAATACTAGACATTGAGAGCATAGAATCTAATACTGGACATTGTGAGCATAGAATCTAATACTGGACATTGTGAGCATAGAATCTTATACTGGACATTAGGAGCATAGAATCTAATACTGGACATTGTGAGCATAGAATCTAATACTGGACATTGTGAGCATAGAATCTAATACTGGACATTGTGAGCATAGAATCTAATACTGGACATTGTGAGCATAGAATCTAATACTGGACATTAGGAGCATAGAATCTAATACTGGACATAGGAGCATAGAATCTAATACTAGACATTGTGAGCAAAGAATTTAATGCTAGACATTGTGAGAATAGAATCTAATACTGGATGATAGATGTAAAAGAGGGAACTGAGAGTCTGTCTTCATTTTGAATTGTTGATGGTAGGTGTGGACATACAAATGCTTGTATTTTGGATTGTTGATGGCACATGTGAACATAGAGATGTGTGCATTTATGATTGTTGGGGTAGATGTGTATATTCAGATGTGTGTATTTATGATTGTTGGGGTAGATGTATACATTCAGATGTGTGTATTTAGGATTGTTGATGGCAGATGTGAATTTGTGACACAGTTGTATCTTCCACATCTGCCAAGCTCATTCAGATGTGCCTAAACGGAACGTAGTATACATGACAATGTGATCCAACAAATTGATTGATAACAAGTTTGTTTATTAAACAATATAATGTCACTTTAAGCAGAATAAATATATTTTTTAAACAAAAGTATGAACAGCTCAGTATATTATTGCAAGCTATTCATATGTGATGATAAGTTCCTAAATACAATAATGATTCTTAACTTCAGTACATGTTGCTAGGACGTTACTTCATTACAAGCAGGTTATTAACTCTTCTTAACTGTCTCTCCAGTCTTTCTTAACGTCCTGTAGAAATATCTCTTCTAGCGAAGCATAACCAAGTTTACTGCTTTACATCTAGTCAGCTCTCTTTACAAGTCTAAGTTCTTCTCGACCGTCCAGCTAAACGTTCAGGCTCTGTCCAGATCACCCTAGCGTGGGTTCACTTCTCCCAGTGGGTTATCCATCACTGCCTGCCACTCTTCAACCTGTTTTATCTTCTCTCTGTCCTGCTTTATCTAAAGGAGAGATTAATCTCCTTGTCTTCTCGGCACGCCCAGGGTTGCCATGTCTCCGTCCCAGCTTTAATCACCATCTCTGTTGAGTTTGACAACCTCCGATAAATCTATGTTATCCTGATTAGTCCCAGGGGAGGGCTCTCCTCGGTGCCATCCGTCACCTCTTTGTTCTGAGCACTGTCAATCTCTGGTTCGTCTCGTCCTGTTTCATTATCTGGGAGCTGATTGATAGGCTTGATGCGTCGGTACCACCTGTTGACAGACACGCCCGGTTTGTCATGTCAAAGTGATCTGTGTTCCTGTATTTACTCCCGCATGTTCTGGCATATTCTCAATGCTACCCTATTCTTGTTCACCCCTTCCTAAACCTTGTTTCACTACAAATGTTTGTATTTCAGATTGTTGAAGCCAAGAGTGACTATGATTCCAAAGTCAAAGAAGAAGAATCCAGAGAGAAAAGGTAGGTAATCTACAACTGTATGCACACTGCCTCTGATTACACAAAGAGATACAGGTTGTGACAATTCAGTATTATCCTACAGCATGTGACAACAATGTCCTACTTCCTTTGAAAACAATATCTTAAAACATATGCAAACAATGTCTTAATGCTTGTGACAGAAATGTCCTGCAACTTGTGAAAACAACAACCTAATACTTGTTTCAATAATGTCCTGCAACCTATGGCTTCCTAGTACTTGTGACAGCAGTGTCCTATAACCTATGACAGAAATGTCCTGCAATTTGTGATGACAACAACCTAATACTTGTTAAATAATGTCCTACAACATATGACTTCCTGGTACTTGCGACAGCAGTGTCCTACAACCTGTGACAACAATGTCCTAATACCTGTGACAACAATGTCTTACAACCCGTAACACTGTCCTAATACCTGTGACAACAATGTCTTACAACCTGTAACACTGTCCTAATACCTGTGACAACAATGTCCTAATACCTGTGACAACAATGTCTTACAACCCGTAACACTGTCCTAATACCTGTGACAACAATGTCTTACAACCCGTAACACTGTCCTAATACCTGTGACAACAATGTCTTACAACCTGTAACACTGTCCTAATACATGTGACAACGTCTTACAACCTGTAACACTGTCCTAATACCTGTGACAACAATGTCTTACAACTTGTGACAACACTGTCCTAATACCTGTGACAACAATGTCTTACAACCTGTGACAACGCTGTCCAAATACCTGTGACAACAATGTCTTACAACTTGTGACAACACTGTCCTAATACCTGTGACAACAATGTCTTACAACCTGTGATAATACTGTCCTAATACCTGTGACAACAGTCTCTTACAACCCGTGACAATACTCTCCTAATACCTGTGACAACAATGTCTTACAACCCGTAACACTGTCTTAATACCTGTGACAACAATGTCTTACAACCCATGACAACACTGTCCTAATACCTGTGACAACAATGTCTTACAACCCGTGACAACACTGTCCTAATACCTGTGACAACAATGTCTTACAACCCGTGACAATACTCTCCTAATACCTGTGACAACAATGTCTTACAACCTGTGATAACACTCTCCTAATACCTGTGACAGCGGTGTCCTAAAATTTGTAACACCACATTGCTGTGCATTCTCTGATGGTTGTCTCTGGCACCTAGTTCTAGATGTACAGATTTTGATATGAACTTTATAGTAGATTTATATCTAGAAGTTTCTCTGCTATTGTTTCGTCAATTGATGTTTTTCTTTTTTTGTTCAGGCTGATGGACTTGAGAGAACAACTGAGAGCTTTAGAGAACACTCTAGCAAACCTGGAGACATCTGATGTGGATGCTGTTGCTGTGAGATTGTTGTCTTTTTCATCACTTTAGTTTTTGTTACTGGTTTTCTAGTTTCCAAATTTTAATAAGTTTCAAAATATTATAAACAAATAAATAAATACTTGACAGCAATCATCTCTGTACACCGCTTGATCACTTTGAACAGGGTATTCTGTAGCTTTTTAGCTTTTTGAATTTCTCTCCTCTGTCTACCACGACATCATCATCTTCAACTGATTGTCAAGATCCTGCCAACCCCTGGTGTCCCAAGGCCGGCAGGCCTGCTCCTTGTTACAATTAGACACGGCAGAGCACAAGCAGTTATTGATGCAACCAAACTGCTTGAGGACAGACAGATTAAAAACATCAAAATTATTTTTTCTTTGTGATATCATGTCAGTCCTCCAGGCGACTCACATGAGACATCATGGAGAGAGAACTGACCCTCCAGCTAAACTGACTCTCAGAAAACAAATCATTCTCCAGTGGATTACAGCTCACTGTGGCAAACCAGGAAATAAGTTAGCAGACAGGCTTGCAAAAAATGGAAAAAGGGAGGACCAACACACCCATTCAATGTCATTACTAGAAATCAAAACACTCATACAAAGAATTGTGGAGAGAACAAACCAACAGTAAACATCCACAAGACTCCATCAGCAGACTCAGCTGAAAGCAACATACAGTAATTTCCCCTCTACGAACAGGACACTGCAGGCTCAACTACCACATGCAAAAAATTAAGATTGTACAGTCCCCACAGTGTGCCTGTCAAACAGGACCCCAAACATCTGAGCACATTCTGCAGACCTGCCCACTCTACCTACAACTTCGAAAAGAAACCTGGCCTTAAGAGTAAAGGTTGCAGAGCAAGCTATGGAAAACCATGAAGGACCTGCTAACGGGACGACAGAGGAATAAATACCTGAATGGCTTGGTTACATGGCAAGAGCAGATCAAAAACATTGACCTAAAAATGTGGGTGTGAGGAAAAATTGAATTCACTAGTTGCCATGAAACATGATAATGACAATACATTAGTCATACTTATGAACATATCACACTTTACCAGTCACCACACATCAACTTGACTTTCAGACATACATTACACAGACTTTACCAGTAACCACATATCTACTTAACTAGCAGACATACATTACCCAGACTTTACCAGTAACCACATATCTACTTGACTAGCAGACATACATTACACAGACTTTACCAGTAACCACATATCTACTTGACTAGCAGACATACATTACACAGACTTTACCAGTAACCACATATCTACTTAACTAGCAGACATACATTACCCAGACTTTACCAGTAACCACATATCTACTTGACTAGCAGACATACATTACACAGACTTTACCAGTCACCACATATATACTTGACTAGCAGACATACATTACACAGACTTTACCAGTCACCACACATCAACTTGAATAGGAGGCAACATTACACTTTACCAGTCACCACATATCTACTTGACTAGCAGACATACATTACACAGACTTGACCAGTAACCACATATCTACTTGACTAGCAGACATACATTACACAGACTTTACCAGTCACCACATATCTACTTGACTAGCAGACATACATTACACAGACTTTACCAGTCACCACACATCAACTTGAATAGGAGGCAACATTACACTTTACCAGTCACCACATATCTACTTGACTAGCAGACATACATTACACAGACTTTACCAGTAACCACATATCTACTTGACTAGCAGACATACATTACACAGACTTTACCAGTAACCACACATCTACTTGACTAGCAGACATATATTACACAAACTTTACCAGTAACCACAAATCTTCTTGACTAGCAGACATACGTTACCCAGACTTTACCAGTAACCACATATCTACTTGACTAGCAGACATACATTACACAGACTTTACCAGTAACCACATATCTACTTGACTAGCAGACATATATTACACAAACTTTACAAGTAACCACAAATCTACTTGACTAGCAGACATACGTTACCCAGACTTTACCAGTAACCACATATCTACTTGACTAGCAGACATACATTACACAAACTTGACCAGTAACCACATATCTACTTGACTAGCAGACATACATTACACAGACTTTACCAGTAACCACATATCTACTTGACTAGCAGACATACATTGCCCAGACTTGACCAGTAACCACATATCTACTTGACTAGCAGACATACATTACACAGACTTTACCAGTAACCACATATCTACTTGACTAGCAGACATACATTGCCCAGACTTTACCAGTAACCACATATCTACTTGACTAGCAGACATACGTTACCCAGACTTTACCAGTCATCACATATCTACTTGACTAGCAGACATACGTTACCCAGACTTTACCAGTCATCACATATCTACTTGACTAGCAGACATACATTGCCCAGACTTTACCAGTCATCACATATCTACTTGACTAGCAGACATACGTTACCCAGACTTTACCAGTCATCACATATATTCTTGACTAGCAGACCTACGTTACCCAGACTTTACCAGTCATCACATATCTACTTGACTAGCAGACATACGTTACACTTTACCAGTCATCACATATCTACTTGACTAGCAGACATACATTGCCCAAACTTTACCAGTAACCACATATCTACTTGACTAGCAGACATACATTGCCAAGACTTTACCAGTCATCACATATCTACTTGACTAGCAGACATACATTACACTTTACCACTCACCACATATCTACTTGACTAGCAAATATACATTACCCAGACTTTACCAGTAACCACATATCTACTTGACTAGCAAGTATACATTACCCAGACTTTACCAGTAACCACATATCTACTTGACTAGCAGACATACATTACACAGACTTTACCAGTCACCACATATCTACTTAACTAGCAGACATACATTACACAAACTTTACCAGTCATCACATATCTACTTGACTATCAGACATACATTACACTTTACCAGTCATCACATATCTACTTGACTAGCAGACATACATTACACAGACTTTACCAGTAACCACATATCTGCTTGACTAGCAGACATACATTACACAGACTTTACCAGTAACCACATATCTGCTTGACTAGCAGACATACATTACACAGACTTTACCAGTAACCACATATCTGCTTGACTAGCAGACATACATTACACAAACTTGACCAGTAACCACATATCTACTTGACTAGCAGACATACATTACACAGACTTTACCAGTCATCACATATCTACTTGACTAGCAGACATACATTACACAGACTTTACCAATAACCACACATCAGCTTGACTAGTAGACATACATTGTTCAGACTTTACCAGTCACAGCAGGCAGACTTTACTGAAACTGGCTAAATCTGCCACCTTCATCAGAGTTTGCTTGTTGATGCAGAGTGTTAGTATTGTTTGTTTTTTGCAGAGACGATTGGAGACAGTTGATAATGATCTGAGGAATGTCAGTAAACAGATGACCAGTGTCCAGTCCGAAGGAGAAAGTTTGTCCCGTGAAATCAGCAACATCAAAGCTGAAATAAGAGGTAGGGACACAGTTCTGGTTAGCCACATTGGCTTAGGAGAGTTCATTTCTGCCACAGACGGCTGGATAGTGTTTGTTAGAGATTGCTGGGTAGTTAGTGTTTGTTAGAGATTGTTCATGTTTGTCAGAAATGGTTTGGTAGTTAGTTTTTGTTAGAGATGGTTGGGTAGTTAGTTTTTGTTAGAGATGGTTGGGTAGTTAGTGTTTGTTAGAGATGGTTGGGTAGTTAATGATTGTTAGAGATGGTTGGGTAGTTAGTGATTGTTAGAGATTGTTCATGTTTGTCAGAAATGGTTTGGTAGTTAGTTTTTGTTAGAGATGGTTGGGTAGTTAATGTTTGTTAGAGATGGTTGGGTAGTTAATGATTGTTAGAGATGGTTGGGTAGTTAGTGATTGTCAGAGATGGTTGGGTAGTCAGTGTTTATTAGAGATGGTTGGGTAGTTAGTGTTTGTTAGAGATGGTTGGGTAGTTAGTGTTTGTTAGAGATGGTTTATGTTTGTTAGAGATGGTTTGGTAGTTAGTGTTTGTTAGAGATGGTTCATGTTTGTCAGAGATGGTTGGGTAGTTAGTGTTTGTTAGAGATGGTTGGGTAGTTAGTGTTTGTTAGAGATGGCTGGGTAGTTAGTGTTTGTTAGAGATGGTTGGGTAGTTAGTGTTTGTTAGAGATGGTTGGGTAGTTAGTGTTTGTTAGAGATGGTTGGGTAGTTAGTGTTTGTTAGAGATGGTTGGGTAGTTAATGATTGTTAGAGATGGTTGGGTAGTTAGTGTTTGTTAGAGATGGTTGGGTAGTTAATGATTGTTAGAGATGGTTGGGTAGTTAGTGTTTGTTAGAGATGGTTGGGTAGTTAATGATTGTTAGAGATGGTTGGGTAGTTAGTGTTTGTTAGAGATGGTTGGGTAGTTAGTAATTGTTAGAGATGGTTTGGTAGTTAGTGTTTGTTAGAGATGGTTGGGTAGTTAATGATTGTTAGAGATGGTTGGGTAGTTAGTGTTTGTTAGAGATGGTTGGGTAGTTAGTGTTTGTTAGAGATGGTTGGGTAGTTAATGATTGTTAGAGATGGTTTGGGTAGTTAGTGTTTGTTAGAGATGGTTGGGTAGTTAGTGATTGTTAGAGATGGTTGGGTAGTTAATGATTGTTAGAGATGGTTGGGTAGTTAGTGTTTGTTAGAGATGGTTGGGTAGTTAGTGATTGTTAGAGATGGTTGGGTAGTTAGTGTTTGTTAGAGATGGTTGGGTAGTTAGTGTTTGTTAGAGATAGTTGGGTAGTTAATGATTGTTAGAGATGGTTGGGTAGTTAGTGTTTGTTAGAGATGGTTTGGTAGTTAGTGTTTGTTAGAGATGGTTTGGTAGTTAGTGTTTGTTAGAGATGGTTTGGTAGTTAGTGTTTGTTAGAGATGGTTGGGTAGTTAGTGTTTGTTAGAGATGGTTGGGTAGTTAATGATTGTTAGAGATGGTTTGGTAGTTAATGATTGTTAGAGATGGTTTGGTAGTTAGTGTTTATTAGAGATGGTTGGGTAGTTAGTGTTTGTTAGAGATGGTTGGGTAGTTAATGATTGTTAGAGATGGTTTGGTAGTTAATGATTGTTAGAGATGGTTTGGTAGTTAGTGTTTATTAGAGATGGTTGGGTAGTTAGTGTTTGTTAGAGATGGTTGGGTAGTTAGTGTTTGTTAGAGATGGTTGGGTAGTTAGTGTTTGTTAGAGATGGTTGGGTAGTTAGTGTTTGTTAGAGATGGTTGGGTAGTTAGTGATTGTTAGAGATGGTTGGGTAGTTAGTGTTTGTTAGAGATGGCTGGGTAGTTAGTGTTTGTTAGAGATGGTTGGGTAGTTAATGATTGTTAGAGATGGTTTGGTAGTTAATGATTGTTAGAGATGGTTTGGTAGTTAGTGTTTGTTAGAGATGGTTGGGTAGTTAATGATTGTTAGAGATGGTTTGGTAGTTAGTGTTTGTTAGAGATGGTTGGGTAGTTAGTGTTTGTTAGAGATGGTTGGGTAGTTAGTGTTTGTTAGAGATGGTTGGGTAGTTAATGATTGTTAGAGATGGTTTGGTAGTTAATGATTGTTAGAGATGGTTTGGTAGTTAGTGTTTATTAGAGATGGTTTGGTAGTTAGTGTTTGTTAGAGATGGTTGGGTAGTTAATGATTGTTAGAGATGGTTTGGTAGTTAATGATTGTTAGAGATGGTTGGGTAGTTAGTGTTTGTTAGAGATGGTTGGGTAGTTAGTGTTTGTTAGAGATGGTTGGGTAGTTAATGATTGTTAGAGATGGTTGGGTAGTTAGTGTTTGTTAGAGATGGTTGGGTAGTTAGTGTTTGTTAGAGATGGTTGGGTAGTTAGTGTTTGTTAGAGATGGTTGGGTAGTTAGTGTTTGTTAGAGATGGTTGGGTAGTTAGTGTTTGTTAGAGATGGTTGGGTAGTTAGTGTTTGTTAGAGATGGTTGGGTAGTTAATGATTGTTAGAGATGGTTGGGTAGTTAGTGTTTGTTAGAGATGGTTGGGTAGTTAGTGTTTGTTAGAGATGGTTGGGTAGTTAGTGTTTGTTAGAGATGGTTGGGTAGTTAGTGTTTGTTAGAGATGGTTGGGTAGTTAGTGTTTGTTAGAGATGGTTGGGTAGTTAGTGATTGTTAGAGATGGTTGGGTAGTTAGTGTTTGTTAGAGATGGCTGGGTAGTTAGTGTTTGTTAGAGATGGTTGGGTAAATGATTGTTAGAGATGGTTTGGTAGTTAATGATTGTTAGAGATGGTTTGGTAGTTAGTGTTTGTTAGAGATGGTTGGGTAGTTAATGATTGTTAGAGATGGTTTGGTAGTTAGTGTTTGTTAGAAATGTTTGGGTAGTTAGTGTTTGTTAGAGATGGTTGGGTAGTTAGTGTTTGTTAGAGATGGTTGGGTAGTTAGTGTTTGTTAGAGATGGTTTATGTTTGTCAGAGATGGTTGGGTAGTTAATGATTGTTAGAGATGGTTGGGTAGTTAGTGATTGTTAGAGATGGTTGGGTAGGTAATGATTGTTAGAGATGGTTTGGTAGTTAGTGTTTGTTAGAGATGGTTGGGTAGTTAGTGTTTGTTAGAGATGGTTTATGTTTGTCAGAGATGGTTGGGTAGGTAATGTCTTGGCAGGATAGTTAATTTCTGCCACAGACGGCTGAGTAGTTTACACTTAGCTGAACTGATTCAACAATTTTCGAATTTCCAGTCATATATCTTGGTGACCTGATTCAAATATCGCTGAACTAGTGACATGTGGAGTTCAAATAGATGGCCTCACCGACAGTATTCAAATTCAGTTTCATTTATTTATTTTTATTCTAAGATGGCTGTACTTACGATTGGTATCGCTTAGAGCTGTTACAAGTGTTGTTTTCAGTGGAGTTTTGTTAATTTTGTTTACAAGCTGATATTCAACCTTTTTGTCATTCGGATGACAAAGACCTGACTCTTATTATAGATGTTTCTGACTCTGCCTGTGAATGTGGCGTTGAAAGTGATAATTCCTGGCTAAGTAGCGATACACCATTGAATAATATCTCAACTGAAATTGATAATTCCTGGCAAAGTATAGATAGACTGGTAAATAATATCTCAACTGAAAGTGATAATTCCTGGTCAAGTAGTGATAGACTGTTGAATAATATCTCAACTGAAAGTGATTTTTACTGGCTAAGTATAGATAGATATGTTAATGAGGAAAGATTGGAAGTGGTGGAAAATTTCGAATATCTTGGGTCACTGGTTACCAACAATGGTGACACAATGAAAGAAATTAAACGGCGACTATCAATTGCTCTTCAAAGACTAAAACAACTGAATAAATTATGGAATTGTACAGATAGAATTACAAAGGTCAGATTTTTAAGAGCATGCATCTTTCCCATTGCAACATACGCCTGTGAGACCTGGACACTTACTAAACAAGCGGAACAGCGCATAAATGCATTTGAATATAAATGTTACAGACAGGTTCTAAGAATATCTTGGGTAAAGAAAAGAACAAATGCATCCATACTTCAAGAGCTGAATATTGAAGAGGGTTGGCTAGTAAAGACAATAAAACAAAGAAATTGAAATATTTTGGTCACTTGAAACGTCATGGAAGTCTAGAGAGAACAATAATGGAGGGGTATATGCCTGGGAAGAGAGGAAGAGGAAGGCCAAAGAGAAGATGGGTGCAGGATGTGGCAGATGATCTCCAGATGGGTGTATCAGACGCAGGACATCTTGCTCATGATAGGAAGGTTTTCCGGAGGGTTGTTATGGCAGCGAGGTTCCGCGAGGGACATGCTACTGAATGAATGAAGTATAGATAGACTCAAAAGAAAGTCGTGACAATGATGAAGTGAGCGGGGCACAGGAGACCATAATATTTCTACAGCTGTAAATGCAGTTTGGAAATAAAGAAAAGCAGTTCAGAATGAACTTGTTGAGTTTGACAATCTGCCTCCATACGAATGAAGAAACTTTATTTCCAAAGGGTTAAAAACTTTCCCCACATGCTGGTCTTATATTTGACCCCTTCTAGCATTCGTCTTTCATTCGGCAATTGCGTTTTATGTAACAAGCATATTATGTTTTAATTAAACAAAGCATGGATTTCAAATGCATGCCTTCAAATATACTTACAGAAATACTCACATATTGCAAACATTCACAACCATGTACACACATACACAACACTCTTACACACACACACGCACACACACATATGCACACATTGATGACACACACACAACATAAAAAGGCATACAGGCGGTCAGAGACAGAACACATACACACAGACACAACAAACACTAACAGACCCAACACACCTACATCAAACATAAGAACACAACACAGTCACAGCATGTACACAAGGACACAACATACACACAGACAATTACTACAGACCACTGCAACTTACACAATCATAGGTACTCTCACAGACAACACACTGGTGAAATATATACACGCATATGTGCTTTGGCAGACACAACACATACACATAGACACAACCACAACACATACACATAGACACAACCACAGACACAAACATAACACATACACATAGACACAACCACAACACATAACCAATAGACACAAACACAACACATACACATAGACAAAACCAATAAACAGAAACACAACACATACACATAGACACAACCAGTAGACACAACACATACACAACCAATAGACACAAACAACACATACACATACACAACCAATAGACACAAACACAACACATACACATAGTCAACCAATAGACACAACACATACACATAGACACAACCACAGACACAAACACATCCACATAGACACAAACACAACACATACACATAGACACAACCAATAGACACAAACACAACTCATACACATAGACACAACCACAGACACAAACACAACACATACACATAGACACAACACATACACACAGACACAACCAATAGACACAAACACAACACATACACACAGACACAACCAATAGACACAAACACAACACATACACATAGACACAACCACAGACACAAACACAACACATACACATAGACACAACACATACACACAGACACAACCAATAGACACAAACACAATACATTCACATAGACACAACCACAAACACAACCACAGACACAAACACAACACATACACTTAGACACAAACACAACACATACACATAGACACAACCACAGACACAAACACAACACATACTCACAGACACAACTAATAGACACAAACACAATGCATACACATAGACACAACCACAGACACAAACACACCACATACACATAGACACAACCACAGACACAAACACAACACATACTCACAGACACAACCAATAGACACAAACACAATACATACACATAGACACAACCACAGACACAAACACACCACATACACATAGACACAACCACAGACAAACATAACACATACACATAGACACAAACACAACACATACACATAGACACAACCACAGACACAACACATACACATAGACACAACCAATAGACCCAAACACAATACATACACACAACTCAATGTAAGCACATCACTCACAAACACAGCCCAAGTAGACACACCACACACAGACAACAATACTTACACACAACACTCACTCAGATTCAGCACTCACACAGTCACAACACATACAGACACACTCACACAACACAGCAACCCCTCCTCGCCCACCCCCACAAGCTCACAGACACCTCACTCAGACACAAGCACATGTATGCTCGCATACACAGAATTCATACAGGTACAGTACTCGCAGGTGTGGCACTCACACAAACAGACACAGCACTCACACAGACAGACACAGCACTCACACAAACAGACACAGCACTCACACAGACAGCATACACTCTCACAGACACACAGCACACACAGACACAGTACACCCATAAACACAAAATTCAAAGATGAAACATACACTCACAGACATTATCATCATCATCAGGTGCCTTGCCGACTGGCGTGGGCGATCATGCTTATCCACAATCTGCGGTCTCCTACGCATGTATCAGTTCGTATGCCGACACACCTCCATGCCATGCAACAAGACTGTCAAGAATCCTCTCTCATGGTCTTCCTCTATCCCTCATTCCACAGATCTTTCCAGTGGTCACAACATGTTCCATTTTCACTCTTCTTATAACATGGCTAAAAAATTATTGGTTGCTTATTTTGGCTGTCCAAGGTACCAAAACATTGTCTGTAAAACCACATCTCTGAGGCCTCCAGAAATTGTTTGGCCTGCCTACCGATTGGCCAGATCCCCTGGCAGCTCCTAGCAGCATCATTCTCCTCAGATCATACATAATCATCTTTTTGCCCTTCTGCTCCCAGAGAGCGAGTGAACAGTGCGGAAGCGAAAATATCTTTGTATGAAAATGTCTCATATCTTGTCTGTTGCCTCCTACCTCATATAAAAATGTTCCATATTTTACCTGTTGCCACCTACCTTGAATAAAAATGTCTCCCATTTTGTGTTTTGCCTTCTAGCTTGTGTGAAAATGTCCCGTTTTGTGTGTTGCCTCCTAGCTTATCTGAAAATGTCTCATGTTTTGTATGTTGCCTCCTAGCTTATCTGAAAATGTCTCATGTTTTGTGTGTTGCCTCCTAGCTTATCTGAAAATGTCTCATGTTTTGTATGTTGCCTCCTAGCTTGTGTGAAAATGTCTCATGTTTTGTGTGTTGCCTCCTAGCTTGTGTGAAAATGTCTCATGTTTTGTGTGTTGCCTCCTAGCTTGTGTGAAAATGTCTCATGTTTTGTGTGTTGCCTCCTAGCTTGTGTGAAAATGTCTCATGTTTTGTGTGTTGCCTCCTAGCTTGTGTGAAAATGTCTCATGTTTTGTGTGTTGCCTCCTAGCTTGTGTGAAAATGTCTCATGTTTTGCAGACTGTGAGGCTCAAGTGAGAAAGATTCAGGATGCCAGCAACAGACGTCTGGAGACACTCAAAAGTTTACATGCCCACACACACCAGGCAGTCTTGTGGCTCAGGGCCAACAAAGACATCTTCAAACACACTGTTCATGAGCCAATGATTGTTTCTGTAAGTCTCTCAGCCAGTCAGTGTTTCTGTAGAAGTTAATGATTCCATATGTGAGTTAGTGATCCTCAGGTAGTGATTCCATGTGTGAGCTAGTGATCCCATGTGTGAGTTAGTGATTCCATGTGTGAGTTAGTGATTCCATGTGTGAGTTAGTGATTCCATGTGTGAGCTAGTGATTCCATGTGTGAGCTAGTGATCCCATGTGTGAGTTAGTGATTCCATGTGTGAGTTAGTGATTCCATGTGTGAGCTAGTGATTCCATGTGTGAGCTAGTGATCCCATGTGTGAGCTAATGATTCCATGTGTGAGCTAGTGATTCCATGTGTGAGCTAGTGATCCCATGTGTGAGCTAGTGATTCCATGTGTGAGCTAGTGATTCCATGTGTGAGCTAGTGATTCCATGTGTGAGCTAGTGATCCCATGTGTGAGCTAATGATTCCATGTGTGAGCTAGTGATTCCATGTGTGAGCTAATGATTCCATGTGTGAGCTAATGATTCCATGTGTGAGCTAGTGATTCCATGTGTGAGCTAATGATTCCATGTGTGAGCTAGTGATTCCATGTGTGAATTAGTGATTCCATGTGTGAGCTAGTGATTCCATGTGTGAGTTAATGATTCCATGTGTGAGCTAGTGATTCCATGTGTGAATTAGTGATTCCATGTGTCAGCTAATGATTCCATGTGTGAGTTAGTGATTCCATGTGTGAGCTAATGATTCCATGTGTGAGCTAATGATTCCATGTGTGAGCTAATGATTCCATGTGTGAGTTAGTGATTCCATGTGTGAGCTAATGATTCCATGTGTGAGCTAATGATTCCATGAGTGAGCTAATGATTCCATGAGTGAGCTAATGATTCCATGTGTGAGTTAGTGATTCCATGCGTGAGCTAGTGATTCCATGTGTGAGCTAGTGATTCCATGAGTGAGCTAATGATTCCATGAGTGAGCTAGTGATTCCATGTGTGAGTTAGTGATTCCATGTGTGAGCTAGTGATTCCATGTGTGAGCTAGTGATTCCATGTGTGAGCTAATGATTCCATGTGTGAGCTAATGATTCCATGTGTGAGTTAGTGATTCCATGCGTGAGCTAGTGATTCCATGTGTGAGCTAGTGATCCCATGTGTGAGCTAGTGATTCCATGTGTGAGTTAGTGATTCCATGTGTGAGCTAGTGATCCCATGTGTGAGCTAGTGATTCCATGTGTGAGCTAGTGATCCCATGTGTGAGCTAGTGATCCCATGTGTGAGTTAGTGATTCCATGTGTGAGCTAATGATTCCATGTTTGAGTTAGTGATTCCATGTGTGAGCTAATGATTCCATGTGTGAGCTAATGATTCCATGTGTGAGTTAGTGATTCCATGTGTGAGCTAATGATTCCATGTGTGAGTTAGTGATTCCATGTGTGAGTTAGTGATTCCATGTGTGAGCTAATGATTCCATGTGTGAGTTAGTGATCCCATGTGTGAGCTAATGATTCCATGAGTGAGCTAATGATTCCATGAGTGAGCTAATGATTCCATGTGTGAGTTAGTGATTCCATGTGTGAGTTAGTGATTCCATAAGTGAGCTAGTGATTCCATGTGTGAGCTAATGATTCCATGTGTGAGCTAATGATTCCATGTGTGAGTTAGTGATTCCATGCGTGAGCTAGTGATTCCATGTGTGAGCTAGTGATCCCATGTGTGAGCTAGTGATTCCATGTGTGAGGTAGTGATTCCATGTGTGAGCTAGTGATCCCATGTGTGAGCTAGTGATTCCATGTGTGAGCTAGTGATCCCATGTGTGAGCTAGTGATCCCATGTGTGAGTTAGTGATTCCATGTGTGAGCTAATGATTCCATGTGTGAGCTAGTGATTCCATGTGTGAGTTAGTGATTCCATGTGTGAGCTAGTGATTCCATGTGTGAGCTAGTGATTCCATGTGTGAGCTAGTGATCCCATGTGTGAGTTAGTGATTCCATGTGTGAGCTATTGATTCCATGTGTGAGCTAGTGATTCCATGTGTGAGCTAATGATTCCATGTGTGAGCTAGTGATTCCATGTGTGAGCTAGTAATCCCATGTGTGAGCTAGTGATTCCATGTGTGAGCTAGTGATTCCATGTGTGAGCTAATGTTTCCATGTGTGAGCTAGTGATATCATGTGTGAGGTAATGATCCCATGTTTGAATTAGTGATCCTATATGTGAGTTAGTGATCCCATGTGTGAGCTAATGATCCCAGTGTGTGAATTAGTGACCCCAGTGTGTGAATTAGTTATCTTATGTTTGAGCTAGTGATCCCCGTGTAAGGTAATGATCCCATGTGTGAGTTAGTGATCCCACATGTCAGTGATCCTATGTGTGAGTTAGTGATTCCATGTGTGATCTAGTGATTCTTTGTGTGAGGTAATTATCCGATGTATGAGGTAGTGATTCCACGTGTGTGTTAATTATCCCATGTATGAGTTAGTGATCCCATGTGTGAATTAGTGATCCCATGTGTAAGCTAGTGATCCCATGTGTGAGCTAGTGATTACATGTGTGAGTTAGTGATTCCATGTGTGAGTTAGTGATTCCATGTGTGAGTTAGTGATTCCATGCGTAAGTTAGTGATTACATGTGTGAGTTAGTGATTCCATGTGTGAGTTAGTGATTCCATGTGTAAGCTAGTGATTCCATGTGTGAGCTAGTGATCCCATTTGTGACGTACTGATTTCATGAGTAAGTTAGTGATCCCATGTGTGGGGTATTGATTCCATGTTTAAGTTAGTGATCTTGTGTATGGGCTAGTGATCCCACGTGTAAGGTAATGATCCCATGTGTGAGTTAGTGATCCTACATGTCAGTTAGCGATTTCACGTATGAGGTAGTGTTGACATGTGTGAGTTAATGAGGTATACACATGTGGGAGGTAGTGATCCCATGTGTGAGTTGATGAGGTAGTGATCCCGTGTGAGGTAGTGACTGCATGAGTACATTGAAGACCACATGATCAATAGATTCAATAACTTGTGAATTCCCTCTTTTCTGGGTGTGACTACACCACAATGACTTGTGAATTCCCTCTTTTCTGGTTGTGATTGCACCACAATGACGTGTGAATTCCCTCTTTTCTGGGTGTGATTGCACCACAATGACTTGTGAATTCCCTCTTTTCTGGGTGTGATTGCACCACAATGACTTGTGAATTCCCTCTTTTCTGGGTGTGACTGCACCACAATGACGTGTGAATTCCCTCTTTTCTGGGTGTGACTACACCACAGTGACGTGTGAATTCCCTCTTTTCTGGGTGTGACTACACCACAATGACTTGTAAATTCCCTCTTTTCTGGGTGTGACTACACCACAGTGATATGTTAATTCTCTCTTTTCTGGGTGCATCTTCATGACGTGACATGTGAATTCGCTCTTTTTTAGATGTGACTTACAACGGTTATGTGTAATTCCCCGTTTTTGAGATGTGTACACCAAAATGACGTGTGAATTCTCTTTTTTCTGGATACTGCTTGTATGACATGACTTGTGTGAAAGCCCTCTAGTTCTGAGATTTCTAGCATTTCAGTTTAATGAATTCTTCTTCTATCAGTCAAATTGCGGTCATTAATTACCGACATAAATATTCACTATCATTACCTGCTGTGTCACATACTCACACTAGACTCTGACAATACAAACCCTACACATGCCAGATTTGTTATTTTTTTAGTTGAATGTAACAAACCCTACAGATGCCAGATTTGTTATCTTTCAGTTGAATGTAACAAACCCTACAGATGCCAGATTTGTTATCTTTTAGTTGAATGTAACAAACCCTACAGATGCCAGATTTGTTATCTTTCAGTTAAATGTAACAAACCCCACAGATGCCAGATTTGTTATCTTTCAGTTAAATGTAACAAACCCTACAGATGCCAGATTTGTTATCTTTCAGTTAAATGTAACAAACCCTACAGATGCCAGATTTGTTATCTTTCAGTTAAATGTAACAAATCCTACAGATGCCAGATTTCTTATCTTTCAGTTGAATGTAACAAACCCTACAGATGCCAAGTTGGTGGAGGCACATGTCAGCTTCAATGACCTGAGGTCGTTTGTGTGTGAGGATGCTGATGACCTTGATCTGTTCATGAGGAAGGTCAAAAATGAGATGAAACTCCGGGTGAATATTGTAAGAGCACCACCAGAACCTGCAGTGACCTATCAGCCTAGACATCCGATCAGTTATTACAGGTGAGACATGGGGTGTTGGGGGAGGAGACAGGTGTTGTTACAGGTGAGACATGGGGTGTTGGGGGAGGAGACAGGTGTTGTTACAGGGGAAGCATGGAAGGGGGACAGGTGGTGTTGTTACAGGTCAGTCATGGGAGGGGAACATGTATTGTTACAGGTGGGACATCGGAGGAGGACAGGTGTTGTTGAGACATGAAAGGGGGACAGGTGTTGCCACAGGTTAGACATGGGGGTCAGTGGGACAGGTGTTTTTACAGGTGAGACCCGGGAGGAGGACAGGTGTTGTCACAGGTGAGACATGGGATGAGGACAAGTGTTGTTACAGGTGAGACATGGGAGGGTGACAGGTGTTGTTAGAGGTGAGACATGGGAAGGGGACAAGTGTTATTGTTGTTGAGACATGGGAGTGGGTTTACAGGTGAGACATGGGAGGGGGACAGGTGTTGTTAGAGGTGAGACATAGGAGGGGGACAGGTGTTGTTAGAGGTGAGACATGGGAGGGGGACAGGTGTTTTTAGAGGTGAGACATGGGAGGGGGACAGTTGTTGTTAGAGGTGAGACATTGGAGGGGGACAGGTGTTGTTAGAGGTGAGACATGGGAGGGGGACAGGTGTTGTTAGAGGTGAGACATGGGAGGGGGACAGGTGTTTTTAGAGGTGAGACATGGGAGGGGGACAGGTGTTTTTAGAGGTGAGACATGGGAGGGGGACAGGTGTTTTTAGAGGTGAGACATTGGAGGGGGACAGGTGTTTTTAGAGGTGAGACATTGGAGGGGGACAGGTGTTTTTAGAGGTGAGACATGGGAGGGGGACAGGTGTTTTTAGAGGTGAGACATGGGAGGGGGACAGGTGTTTTTAGAGGTGAGACATGGGAGGGGGACAGGTGTTTTTAGAGGTGAGACATTGGAGGGGGACAGGTGTTTTTAGAGGTGAGACATTGGAGGGGGACAGGTGTTTTTAGAGGTGAGACATGGGAGGGGGACAGGTGTTGTTAGAGTTGAGACATTGGAGGGGGACAGGTGTTGTTAGAGGTGAGACATGGGAGGGGGACAGGTGTTGTTAGAGGTGAGACATGGGAGGGGGACAGGTGTTGTTAGAGGTGAGAAATGGCAGGGGGACAGGTGTTGTTAGAGGTGAGACATGGAAGGGGGACAGGTGTTGTTAGAGGTGAGACATGGGAGGGGGACAGGTGTTGTTAGAGGTGAGAAATGGGAGGGGGACAGGTGTTGTTAGAGGTGAGACATGGTGTACGGTTGAGACATGGAAGGCTTACATGTGTTACAGGGAAAAGAAGAAGGGGGAATGGTGTTGTTACAGATGAGACAAGGGAGATTTATGGGTGTAATTACAGGTGAGCTGGGAAAGAGACACAGTTGAGACAAGGTAGGGGACAGGTTACAGTTAAGACATCATTTGGACAGACATTTTTACATCTGCAAAAATAAAGTTAATGAAGGTGACATTGACGAGGGTGATAGAATGAAGGTGACATTGACGAGGGTGATAGAATGAAGGTGACATTGACGAGGGTGATAGAATGAAGGTGACATTGACGAGGGTGATAGAATGAAGGTGACATTGACGAGGGTGATAGAATGAAGGTGACATTGACGAGGGTGATAGAATGAAGGTGACATTGACGAGGGTGATAGAATGAAGGTGACATTGGCGAGGGTGATAGAATGAAGAAACAGAATAGCTGCAGGGTTAGAGTGAAGATTGCAGTCACAATCATGGTAACAGTGATTGTCTGTGTCCAACAGGAAGTATGGATTTGATCGTTACCTGCAGAGCTTGTTTACCTGCCCTGAGGCAGTCATGAGGTTTTTGTGCCTTCAGTACAAAGTTCATCTGATTCCTGTTGGATCCAGTCTTGTACAGACCAACCTACAGCGTATCTTGAAAGAGTGTCCAGAACTGACCCATTTCTACACACCAGATGTGCAGGTAGGTTTTGTTGTATAGCCACCATCTGTGTCCTGTCTACCATTACTTTATATCTTTTTGTGCTACCTCTACTTATGGGAGTCGCCATGGTGTAGAGTCTAGGTGCTCACCTGCTGATGAGAGTCGCCATGGTGTAGAGTCTATGTGCTCACCTGCAGATGGGAGTCGCCATGGTGTAGAGTCTAGGTGCTCACCTGCTGATGGGGTCACCATGATGTAGAGTCTAGGTGCTCACCTGCTGATGGGAGTCGCCATGGTGTAGAGTCTAAGTGCTCACCTGCTGATGGGAGTCGCCATGGTGTAGAGTCTAGGTGCTCACCTGCTGATGGGAGTCGCCATGGTGTAGTCTAGGTGCTCACCTGTTGATGGGAGTCGCCATGGTGTAGAGTCTAGGTGCTCACCTGCAGATGGGAGTCACCATAGTGTAGAGTCTATGTGCTCACCTGCAGATGGGAGTCGCCATGGTGTAGAGTCTAGGTGCTCACCTGCTGATGGGAGTCACCATGATGTAGAGTCTAGGTGCTCACCTGCTGATGGGAGTCGCCATGGTGTAGAGTCTAGGTGCTCACCTGCTGATGGGAGTCGCCATGGTATAGAGTCTAAGTGCTCACCTGCTGATGGGAGTCACCATGGTGTAGAGTCTAGGTGCTCACCTGCTGATGGGAGTCGCCATGGTGTAGAGTCTATGTGCTCACCTGCTGATGGGAGTCGCCATGGTGTAGAGTCTATGTGCTCACCTGCAGATGGGAGTCGCCATGGTGTAGAGTCTAAGTGCTCACCTGCTGATGGGAGTCACCATGGTGTAGAGTCTAGGTGCTCACCTGCTGATGGGAGTCGCCATGGTGTAGAGTCTATGTGCTCACCTGCTGATGGGAGTCGCCATGGTGTAGAGTCTATGTGCTCACCTGCAGATGGGAGTCGCCATGGTGTAGAGTCTAAGTGCTCACCTGCTGATGGGAGTCACCATGGTGTAGAGTCTAGGTGCTCACCTGCTGATGGGAGTCGCCATGGTGTAGAGTCTAGGTGCTCACCTGCTGATGGGAGTCACCATGATGTAGAGTCTAGGTGCTCACCTGCTGATGGGAGTCACCATGGTGTAGAGTCTATGTGCTCACCTGCTGATGGGAGTCGCCATGGTGTAGAGTCTATGTGCTCACCTGCTGATGGGAGTCGCCATGGTGTAGAGTCTATGTGCTCACCTGCTGATGGGAGTCGCCATGGTGTAGAGTCTAGGTGCTCACCTGCTGATGGGAGTCGCCATGGTGTAGAGTCTAGGTGCTCACCTGCTGATGGGAGTCACCATGATGTAGAGTCTAGGTGCTCACCTGCTGATGGGAGTCGCCATGGTGTAGAGTCTATGTGCTCACCTGTTGATGGGAGTCACCATGGTGTAGAGTCTAGGTGCTCACCTGCTGATGGGAGTCACCATGGTGTAGAGTCTATGTGCTCACCTGCTGATGGGAGTCGCCATGGTGTAGAGTCTATGTGCTCACCTGCTGATGGGAGTCGCCATGGTGTAGAGTCTATGTGCTCACCTGCTGATGGGAGTCGCCATGGTGTAGAGTCTTAGCTCTCACCTGCTGATGGGAGTCACCATGGTGTAGAGTCTAGGTGCTCAACTGCTGATGGGAGTCGCCATGGTGTAGAGTCTAGGTGCTCACCTGCTGATGGGAGTCACCATGGTGTAGAGTCTAAGTGCTCACCTGCTGATGGGAGTCGCCATGGTGTAGAGTCTATGTGCTCACCTGCTGATGGGAGTCGCCATGGTGTAGAGTCTATGTGCTCACCTGCAGATGGGAGTCACCATGGTGTAGAGTCTATGTGTTCACCTGCAGATGGGAGTCACCATGGTGTAGAGTCTAGGTGCTCACCTGCTGATGGGAGTCGCTATGATGTAGAGTCTAGTTGCTCACCTGCTGATGGGAGTCGCTATGATGTAGAGTCTAGTTGCTCACCTGCTGATGGGAGTCGCTATGATGTAGAGTCTAGGTGCTCACCTGCTGATGGGAGTCGCCATGGTGTAGAGTCTATGTGCTCACCTGCAGATCAGAAGGTTGTAGGTTCGGGTCCTTACGGAGCCAGACTTTTTTTTTTAATGACATTGGCTTCTAAGTCAACCCAGCCTTGTGTGGGCACCAAGTGTAGTCATGGGAAGTAAAAGCAGCCGCTTTGATGTTGACCATGTCGCCTGTCAAGTTCTAGCCATATATATATAACCAACACAATTAAAGGCTTGGAAAGGGGTCCTTTACTTGTGTACCTCTATTTAGGAACTTGTCAGGATACAGACTTTTGTCATAACTGATTGTGACCTCTAGATGTCAACATAGATTTGAGATAACAATCATGATGTGCACTGACAAAGATTGTGGACAATATGAGAAAGGCGTAAGGCACACCAATTTTGCTGCAAGCAGTAAAATTCCATCCACCATATTTTTTATTTCCAAGAAAACAGATTTCTGTAAAAACCTGTGTTTGGCCAAGTAAACAAGAGATGCAGACAACTTTAGATAGATTTTAAAACCATCCTCGCCAAACAAACAAAAGGAAGGCCCTTATGACAGAATATTAAAAAAAATAATTTAATGAAGCATAGTGTAGTATTTTTAAAAGTATAAAGTTTCTAGCCAATTTGGTTCATTTAATTGAAATGTTATATCATGAACAACAAGCAGCCATCAGAGCAGCTGGTGAAACATTGGATTGGTTCGAGGTGCAAAAGGTAGTGAGGTAGGGTGCATTCTGTCATCATACCTATTCATTATATATGAGGAAACATAATGAGAAATGTCAAAATGTGACCCCACGTCATAATTGGGGGCAACCCTATTCCTGAACTTTGCTATGCAGATGACACAGTCCTCCTTTCGAACTATGTAAAGGGAATAGAAAATTTAATCATGTCTATTCAAAAACAGGGAATAGCAAAACCTATGCTTGAATTTAAAGAAAATGAAGAAAAAAAACACCCACAGACTAAACTGTCTGTTACCCAGAAATAACAATAAATGATGAAGAAATTGAAAATATCACAAACTTTAAATATCTAGGCTATAATAGCAATGGAGACTTTGACAGAAATCAAAAGGAGGATGGCCACAGCAGTGCCAAGATATAAACAGCATTAGAAGTCTGTGGTAAGGCACCAGCAAATACTGTACTGTAACGCAATGTCTGTTTTCTGTACTGTAACGTAATGTCTGTTCTCTGTACTGTAACATAATGTCTGTTCTCTGTACTGTAACATAGTGTCTGTTTTCTGTACTGTAACGTAATGTCTGTTCTCTGTCCTGTAACATAATGTCTGTTCTCTGTACTGTAACATTGTAATGTCTGTTCCCTGTACTGTAACATTGTAATGTCTGTACTGTAACATTGTTCCCTGTATTGTAATACTGTATTCTCTGTTCCCTGTATTTGCTATTTCCTGTATTATAACATTGTATTGTCTACTTCCTGTAGTTTATCATTGTATATGGTCTATTTCCTGTAAAACATTGTATTTTCTGTTCCCTGTACTATAACGTTCTCTTTTTCCTGTACTATAACACTCTCTGTTGCCTGTACTATATCATTGTATTGTCTGGGTCCTGTACTATATCATTGTATTGTCTGGGTCCTGTACTATATCATTGTATTGTCTGGGTCCTGTACTATATCATTGTATTGTCTGGGTCCTGTACTATAACATTGTATTGTCTGGGTCCTGTACTATAACACTGTATTGTCTGGGTCCTGTACTATAACATTGTATTGTCTGGGTCCTGTACTATAACACTGTATTGTCTGGGTCCTGTACTATAACATTGTATTGTCTGGGTCCTGTACTATAACATTGTATTGTCTGGGTCCTGTACTATAACATTGTATTGTCTGGGTCCTGTACTATAACATTGTATTGTCTGGGTCCTGTACTAAAACATTGTATTCTCTGGGCCCTGTATTGTAACATTTTATTGTCTAGACCCTGTATTGTAACATTCCCTGTTGTCTGTACTGTAACATTGTATTGTCTGGACCCTGTACTGTAACATTGTATTGTCTGGGTCCTGTACTATAACACTGTATTGTCTGGGTCCTGTACTATAACATTGTATTGTCTGGGTCCTGTACTATAACATTGTATTCTCTGGGTCCTATACTATAACATTGTATTGTCTGGGTCCTGTACTATAACATTGTATTGTCTGGGTCCTGTACTATAACATTGTATTGTCTGGGTCCTGTACTATAACATTGTATTCTCTGGGCCCTGTATTGTAACATTCCCTGTTGTCTGTACTGTAACATTGTATTGTCTGGACCCTGTACTGTAACATTGTATTGTCGGGACCCTGTACTGTAACATTGTATTGTCTGGGCCCTGTACTGTAACATTGTATTGTCTGGGCCCTGTACTGTAACATTGTATTGTCTGGGCCCTGTGCTGTAACATTGTATTGTCTGGACCCTGTACTGTAACATTGTATTGTCTGGACCCTGTACTGTAACATTGTATTGTCTGGACCCTGTACTGTAACATTGTATTGTCTGGACCCTGTATTGTAACATTGTATTGTCTGGACCCTGTATTGTAACATTCCCTGTTGTCTGTACTGTAACATTGTATTGTCTGGACCCTGTATTGTAACATTCCTTGTTGTCTGTACTGTAACATTGTATTGTCTGGACCCTGTATTGTAACATTCCCTGTTGTCTGTACTGTAACATTGTATTGTCTGGACCCTGTACTGTAACATTGTACTGTCTGGACCCTGTACTGTAACATTGTATTGTCTGGACCCTGTATTGTAACATTCCTTGTTGTCTGTACTGTAACATTGTATTGTCTGGACCCTGTATTGTAACATTCCCTGTTGTCTGTACTGTAACATTGTATTGTCTGGACCCTGTACTGTAACATTGTACTGTCTGGACCCTGTACTGTAACATTGTATTGTCTGGACCCTGTACTGTAACATTGTATTGTCTGGGCCCTGTACTGTAACATTGTATTGTCTGGACCCTGTATTGTAACATTGTATTGTATGGACCCTGTATTGTAACATTCCCTGTTGTCTGTACTGTAACATTGTATTGTCTGGGCCCTGTACTGTAACATTGTATTGTCTGGACCCTGTATTGTAACATTCCCTGTTGTCTGTACTGTAACATTGTATTGTCTGGACCCTGTATTGTAACATTCCTTGTTGTCTGTACTGTAACATTGTATTGTCTGGACCCTGTATTGTAACATTCCCTGTTGTCTGTACTGTAACATTGTATTGTCTGGACCCTGTATTGTCACATTGTATTGTCTGGGCCCAGTACTGTAACATTGTATTGTCTGGACCCTGTTTTGTGACATTGTATTCTCTGGGCCCTGTACTGTAACATTGTATTGTCTGGACCCTGAATTGTAACATTCCTTGTTGTCTGTACTGTAACATTGTATTATCTGGGCCCAGTATTATAACATTGTATTGTCTGGGCCCTGTAACATTGTATTGTCTGGGCCCTGTATTGTAACATTGTATTGTCTGGGCCCTGTATTGTAACATTGTATTGTCTGGGCCCTGTACTGTAACATTGTAATGTCTGGACCCTGTATTGTAACATTGTAATGTCTGGGCCCTGTATTGTAACATTCCCTGTTGTCTGTACTGTAACATTGTAATGTCTGGGCCCTGTATTGTAACATTCCTTGTTGTCTGTACTGTAACATTGTACTGTCTGGACCCTGTACTGTAACATTGTACTGTCTGGGCCCTGTACTGTAACCTTGTATTGTCTGGGTCCTGTACTGTAACATTGTAATGTCTGGGCCCTGTACTGTAACATTGTAATGTCTGGGCCCTGTATTGTAACATTCCTTGTTGTCTGTACTGTAACATTGTATTGTCTGGGCCCTGTACTGTAACATTGTATTGTCTGGGCCCTGTACTGTAACATTGTGTGGTCTAATCTAAATTGGTCCCTTTACTATATAAAATTATCTGTTTATGAAAGTTAAAAAAAAAAAATACAGAAAAAAACCCTTTAGGCATATAGAGCTAGATCTATATTTTATAGACCAATCTGTACAAGATGGATGATGTGGTCCGCATCACGCCGGCCGCCTCTACTTCCCGGGACTGCACCCGGTACCCACTCAAGGCTGGGTCAACCTGGGAGCCAAGGTCAATTTTTGAAGAAAAGCCTGGTTCCACCAGGGAGCGAACCCACAACCTTCCGATCTACAGCACGCGTCTAGCTGCTCTGCTACGGCGACTCCCACCTCTGTTCCTGAACTGAAACATTGTTTTGTCTGGTTTCTGCAGTACACCATCAAACAGTCCAAGTACAGCAAAAACATGTCCTCCAGGAATACAGCTTTGAAGTAAGTGTTGATTAGCAGTTTATCAGTAATATGGCATATTTTCAGTTACATTTTCAGTGTGGTCTTTTGTATGTATGTTTGTTGTATGAGTACATATATAAGTGTTTCATGTAGTTGTTATATTGTTGCATAGGTAATTGTTTTATTTAGTTGAATCAGTCCCTGTACAGATGTTTCATGTAGCTGTTATATCAGTCCCTGTGTAGATGTTTCATGTAGTTGTTGTATCAGTCCCTGTGTAGATGTTTCATGTAGTTGTTGTATCAGTCCCTGTGTAGATGTTTCATGTGGTTGTTGTATCAGTACATGTGTAGATGTTTCATGTAGTTGTTGTATCAGTACATGTGTAGATGTTTCATGTAGTTGTTGTATCAGTCCCTGTGTAGATGTTTCATGTAGTTGTGGTATCAGTCCCTGTGTAGATGTTTCATGTAGTTGTTGTATCAGTCCCTGTGTAGATGTTTCATGTAGTTGTTGTATCAGTCCCTGTGTAGATGTTTCATGTAGTTGTTGTATCAGTCCCTGTGTAGATGTTTCATGTAGTTGTTGTATCAGTCCCTGTGTAGATGTTTCATGTAGCTGTTGTATCAGTACATGTGTAGATGTTTAATGTAGTTGTTGTATCAGTACATGTGTAGATGTTTCATGTAGTTGTTGTATCAGTAAATGTGTAGATGTTTCATTTAGTTGTTGTATCAGTCCCTGTGTAGATGTTTCATGTAGTTGTTGTATCAGTCCCTGTGTAGATGTTTCATGTAGCTGTTGTATCAGTACATGTGCAGATGTTTTATGTAGTTGTTGTATCAGTACATGTGTAGATGTTTCATGTAGTTGTTGTATCAGTAAATGTGTAGATGTTTCATTTAGTTGTTGTATCAGTCCCTGTGTAGATGTTTCATGTAGTTGTTGCATCAGTAAATGTGTAGATGTTTCATTTAGTTGTTGTATCAATGCCTGTGTAGATGTTTCATGTAGTTGTGGTATCAGTACATGTGTAGATGTTTCGTGTAGTTGTTGTACCAGTACGTATGTAGATGTTTCAAGTAGTTGTTGTACCAGTACGTATGTAGATTTTTCATGTAGTTGTTGCATCAGTACGTATGTAGATGTTTAATGTAGTTGTTGCACCAGTATGTATGTAGATGTTTCATGTATTTGTTGCACCAGTACGTATGTAGATGTTTCATGTAGTTGTGGTATCAGTAAATGTGTAGATGTTTCATGTAGTAGTTGCACCAGTACGTATGTAGATGTTTCATGTAGTTGTTGATTCAGTCCCTGTGTAGATGTTTCATGTAGTAGTTGCACCAGTACGTATGTAGATGTTTCATGTAGTAGTTGCACCAGTACGTATGTAGATGTTTCATGTAGTAGTTGCACCAGTACGTATGTAGATATTTCATGTAGTAGTTGCACCAGTACGTATGTAGATGTTTCATGTAGTTGTTGATTCAGTCCCTGTGTAGATGTTTCATGTAGTAGTTACACCAGTACGTATGTAGATGTTTCATGTAGTAGTTGCACCAGTACGTATGTAGATGTTTCATGTAGTTGTTGCACCAGTACGTATGTAGATGTTTCATGTAGTTGTTGTGCCAGTATACTGTAGATGTTTTCTTTAATTGTAGAGTGATGTAGTCAACCATGTTGTAATGATAATGATGACAGACTCACACAGTCAGATCAGATTTTCATTGTAAATAATTTGCCTAGGACTTTGGGTGTGCAAGATGAGGAATAGGCTGATAGAGTAGTTGCTGTTGTCCATTATGTGATGAGATCAAGTGGATGTGATCAAGGCTCTCTGGGATCAAGTACAGATAGAACATCCATATCTAGAGAAAATTTTTGAGCTAGAAGGGAGCTGAGGGTCTGGTTGATTTTTCATCTAAGGGGGGGAGGGGGGGGGAGGTGTTATTTAATTAGTTTGAATCTGTCGCTATCAGTGTGGGGTGTGTTTATTGGCTATTGAGGAAGGGGGCAGAGAATGTTTAAGAATGTCCTGTTTGCAGAGGTGTGAATTCTTGGTTTATTCATTCATTCATTCATTCATTATTCCTTTTGGTTGCTCTCCACTAACAACTTGTTTGTTTTATCCAGGGAACCTCGAGCCCTCGTTGATTCCATCAACTTGGAGAGAGAGCAGGAACTGAGCACTACTATCAAGGTCTGTTAGTTTGGCTTGCCTCAGACAAAGTCTTACTTTGCTGTCATCAGTATAGAACAGATTTTCAGTTTAGGATATATGTAGAACATACCAGATTGTCAGTTTAAGATCTGTGTAATGTAAAGGCAATCATGGGAGTGCCCATATGCCTTGCTCACTCTTGATTTCTACAGCTGTTTTTGTGCAGCCTCCATAGTGGACCTACAAAGTAGAACAAGCATGGAGAGCAGCAGTTAAACAATTATAGAAAATGTAAAAGACATCTCAGAGGTTACAAGAGGATGTAGAGAAACTAGGCAGGGTTAGAAAAAAGGTAGAAGAGTTCAGGCGGTGTCCAGCAGCTGCAAGAAAGAAAAAAAGCCAAATGGGAACATTTTATGAGCAAAATTCTGGGAGATGACTCACTGGGTAGGTTTTGGGCTGATGCAAAGGAAGGGCCCGCCTATCACAGCAGCATTTTTTACACTGATAAGAGTATGCCAAAGACAACAGACCAAGAATAAGGGAAAGCATTTTTGGAGAGATTTATAGCCCAAATTGATCATAATAATAGGGAAGGTAGAAATCCAGTTAGAGATAATCGATCTAATATTATAATTTATACTAATTTTCAGGATATCAATAAGGTGGAGGGTATAAAATCTATATTGCAAAAAGCAAAATGACACTGTGCTGGGACCAGATGGAGTCAGATATGCGCACATGAAGAGCTTGAGTGATGAAGACTTGATAGAGATGGCTTTTTACTTCAACCAGAGCAATAGAACAGCTTCAGTACACCAGGAGTGGGCACCAGATTGGCACGAGAGGGGTATGAAACAGACAGCCCAGGAGCTGCAGGCAGCTGTAGACAAAGTGACTGACTGGTGTGCAGAATGGGTGCTGTCATCAGCTTAGAAATGGTGTCTGTTCTGTGGTGCTGTCTAGACCAGTGGTTCTCAGACTGGGTGCCACAAGTGTATGCCAGGGGTGCCAAGGCAAAAATGAAAAATTTATCCGAACAGATTAATTCATTGGACTAAAGACAACCAATCATTACATTTGCACTGTTTCTTCTTTCTTTCCTAAGTATTCGAACTGCTGTAAGGGTAGCTGTGCTGCAATTTTTTTTTTTTTTTTTTTTAGCCCGGCAAGGGTGCCGCTTTGAAAAACGTTTAAGAATCGCTGCTCTATACAATAGAATTATAAGAGCTGATGTTCCAAGTCTCACATTTAATGTCAAAAGCACCACAAGAGAAAGTTAACTGAGAGACATGGGATCATTCTTGATAGAATCCTGTCCTTCAGGGATCATTTGGAGGCAGTTGCAGTGAAATACCAGAAAGGACTCAACTCTCTCAGTAGTTGACATGGAACAAAGAATGTTGTTCAGTGTTCCAGCATTTGATCCTGTTGGTGATATGAACTTGGAATGCTTACCATATCAACGAGTCAGCTGAAACTTGAACACAAACAGAATGAGGCCATGCAAATAATTCTGGGATGTACAGTTAGGGATTTAAATAATGTGTTATTAGTTGTATTATGTTGTCCTCATAGCTTGTAACTGATCAGTTTCATTTTCTAGAGACATGGCAAAAGTTGCTGCACTCACAGGTCACATTTTTTTTTCTGCCCGTTATTTCCAAATAAAGCAAATGTTAATAGCTAGTTCTCATTGGGTAGTCCTATTTCTTGCTGCTGTTAAGCTCACCTCATGACCTTCCCTGTCTTAATCACCTCATGCCCTCTCCTGTCTTGATCACCTCATCACCTCCCCTGTCTTGATCACCTCATGCCCTCTTCTGCCTTGATCACCTCATGCCCTCCCCTGTCTTGATCACCTCATGACCTCTCCTGCCTTGATCACCTCATGCCCTCTTCTGCCTTGATCACCTCATGCCCTATCCTGTCTTGATCACCTCATGATCTCTCCTATCTTGATCACCTCATGACCTCTCCTGCCTTGATCACCTCATGCCCTCCCCTGTCTTGATCACCTCATGACCTCTCCTGCCTTGATCACCTCATGACCTCTCCTGTCTTGATCACCTCATGCCCTATCCTGTCTTGATCACCTCATGCCCTTCCCTGTCTTGATCACCTCATGCCCTCCCCTGTCTTGATCACCTCATGCCCTCTCCTGCCTTGATCACCTCATGCCCTCCTGTCTTGATCACCTCATGCCCTCCTGTCTTGATCACCTCATGCCCTTCCCTGTCTTGATCACCTCATGCCCTTCCCTGTCTTGATCACCTCATGCCCTCCACTGTCTTGATCACCTTATGCCCTCCCCTGTCTTGATCACCTCATGCCCTTCCCTGTCTTGATCACCTCATGCCCTCCCCTGCCTTGATCACCTCATCACCTCCCCTGTCTTGATCACCTCATGCCCTTCCCTGTCTTGATCACCTCATCACCTCCCCTGTCTTGATCACCTCATCACCTCCCCTGTCTTGATCACCTCATCACCTCCCCTGTCTTGATCACCTCATGCCCTCCCCTGTCTTGATCATCTCATGCCCTCCCCTGTCTTGATCATCTCATGCCCTCCCCTGCCTTGATCACCTCATCACCTCCCCTGTCTTGATCACCTCATCACCTCCCCTGTCTTGATCACCTGATGCCCTCTCCTGCCTTGATCACCTCATCACCTCCCCTGTCTTGATCACCTCATGACCTCTCCTGCCTTGATCACCTCATCACCTCCCCTGTCTTGATCACCTCATGACCTCTCCTGCCTTGATCACCTCATGCCCTATCCTGTCTTGATCACCTCATGCCCTATCCTGCCTTGATCAGCTCATGCCCTCTCCTCCCTTGATTACCTCATGCTATGGTACCTTTTTATGATGTAAACTGGAGAAGTCTTTTACTTTGAAAGTGAAGATATTTCTCTGATGACAAAGCTACCACACCGAGCAAACCAATGAGGGAGTGGTACAGACTGGGGAGGTACGGACTGGGGAGGAAGGGAATAGTAGCCATCCTATTGTAGGGACCAGATGTGGCCAGCTTTGATGATTTGAGTGTAGAACTGGGATTGGGGTAACCAGTCATGGCTAGGTGTTTCTTTGTTGTTGGGTCAGCACATGAATTGAGGTAACCAGTCATGGCTAGGTGTTTCTTTGTTGTTGGGTCAGCACATGAATTGAGGTGCAGATGTACAGTTGCCAGTCAGTCAGCTCCATGTGAGAGTAGAATCTTGTTGTAGACTGTATCATATTGCCTTGCTGGAATTTGATAAAGAGAAATTTGACCCTTTTGTCTCAGGCAGCAGCCCAGCAGCAGAAGCTGAAAGAGGATGAGTACCGGTTGTTGCAACGGAAATCTGAGCAGCTCACCCTGGAAATGAACAGACTTCGGGAGGAGAAGGTAAGCAGGAGTTCATGGAGAACAGACTTCAGGAGGAGAAGGTAAGCAGGAGTTCATGGAGAACAGACTTCAGGAGGAGAAGGTAAGCAAGAGTTCTTCCTGGAGATGAACATAGGAGGAGAAGGTAAGCAAGAGTTCTTCCTGGAAATGAACATACTCTGGGAGGAGAAGGTAAGCAAGAGTTCTCTCTGGAGATGAACATACTCTGGGAGGAGAAGGTAAGCAAGAGTTCTCCCTGGAGATGAACATACTCTGGGAGGAGAAGGTAAGCAAGAGTTCTCCCTGGAGATGAACATACTCTGGGAGGAGAAGGTAAGCAAGAGTTCTTCCTGGAGATGAACATACTCTGGGAGGAGAAGGTAAGCAAGAGTTCTCCCTGGAGATGAACATACTAAGGAGGAGAAGGTAAGCAAGAGTTCTCCCTGGAGATGAACATACTCAGGAGGAGAAGGTAAGCAAGAGTTCTCCCTGGAGATGAACATACTCTGGGAGGAGAAGGTAAGCAAGAGTTCTTCCTGGAAATGAACATACTCTGGGAGGAGAAGGTAAGCAAGAGTTCTTCCTGGAGATGAACATACTCTGGGAGGAGAAGGTAAGCAAGAGTTCTCCCTGGAGATGAACATACTCTGGGAGGAGAAGGTAAGCAAGAGTTCTCCCTGGAGATAAACATACTCAGGAGGAGAAGGTAAGCAGGATATCTCCATGGAGATAAACATACTCATGGAGCTAAAGGTCAGCAGGAGATGTGCCTTAACTCTTCTGTGGGCTAGGTTTCTGTGAGGAAATTGGATTGTTCTTTGAAGTAGGATTTTGGGACAAGATTGTTCTTTTAATACAGTTATGTTGTCATGGTGTATTGATTGATAAACATATGGGTATAGAAGTTTTAAGGTTTAAACCTAAAGTATAGAAGAGTGTTATTGAGAATATGGCTGTAAGGAATTGTTGGTGGGAATATTGTTGTAAGGAATTGTTGGTGGTTATATGGTTGTAAGGGATTGTTAGTGGATATATGGTTGTAAGGAATTGTTAGTGGATATATGGTTGTAAGGAAATGGGCAGTTGGAATATGGCTGTGAGGAAGTGAAGATGGAAATATGGCGGTAAGGAATTGCTGGTGGGAATATTGTTGTAAGGAATTGTTGGTGGATATATGGTTGTAAGGAAATGGGCAGTTGGAATATGGCTGTAAGGAAGTGAAGTTGGAAATATGGCGGTAAGGAATTGTTGGTGGGAATATTGTTGTAAGGAATTGTTGGTGGTTATATGGTTGTAAGGGATTGTTAGTGGATATATGGTTGTAAGGAATTGTTAGTGGATATATGGTTGTAAGGAAATGGGCAGTTGGAATATGGCTGTGAGGAAGTGAAGATGGAAATATGGCGGTAAGGAATTGCTGGTGGGAATATTGTTGTAAGGAATTGTTGGTGGATATATGGTTGTAAGGAAATGGGCAGTTGGAATATGGCTGTCATTTGTATGAGTTTTTGTGTGTAAATGTTATATGTGGGAGATTATATGTGGGAGATTATATGTGGGAGATTATATGTGGGAGATTATATGTGGGAGATTATATGTGGGGAGTCACTAAAACAGTGGCTAGAGATAAGTCTGCCAGCCTAAGGGAGTGAGATCCACACTGAGGTGTTATATTCATATTTTCACAGACCAAGAACTAAAATTATTTGTTGAAAAGGGCTCTTGTGTACCTGAAACATTACTCGTTCAATGCAGCTTTTGTATGTGCAAAAACATTATCCATTAAATACAGTTTCTGTGTATGTAAACACATTACCCTTTGAATGCTGTTTTTTGTATGTGCCTGCTCTTACTTGCAGAGAAATGTGATGAAACAAAAAGATGAAAGGAAAAGTCTGAGAAATCAAATTACAACAAAAGAACAGAGGTAATTTATGTTATAATTAAACACACTTGTGATATCATTGTATGGTAAATCAGTATGTTGTGATATAAGCATGGTAATGTCAGTACAAGGCGATGTCAGCGTATGATGATTTCAGTGTGTGATGATATCAGTACATTGTGATATCAATCTAGTGTGTGGTCATATCAGTATATTGTGATATCACTGTGTGGTCATATCTCCGAGTCGTGATATCATTTTTCGTGATATTTCTGTGTGATTGTTGCTATGAATATTGTGGCAGGATGAGATGATTGTTGCTATTATTGATGTGCCAGGTTGAGATGATTGTTGCTATTATTGATGTGCCAGGTTGAGATGATTGTTGCTATTATTGGTGTGCCAGGATGAGATGATTGTTGCTATTATTGGTGTGCCAAGATTAAAGGATTCTTTTTTCAGTTTAAAGGATATCCACCCCAGCATAGCAATAGTGCTATACCCCCACCCCCCACCCCCTTTCCTTCTGATAGTGGCTGTATTATCATCTGATTCCACTGCCTACGTGAACAAAAGAAGATCACAATAAAATGTTTCACAATATATTACAAAATACATTTGGTAAGATTCAAGCAAAAAAAGGTAGCCACAGGCAGATATTCATCAACATTCAGGAAATGGATTACCAGTGGATGACTGAGTTAGCCATAGAGAGAGATAGGCAAATGCTGCAAGTCTGTCTTGTGATCTCTGTCAGGCTCTAGAAGTTACATACAACGGGGTTATGTTGAATTCAGAATCAACATCACAGCACTGGGCACATTTCCATAGGTGCTCTGTCCCCATCTTCAGCAGCAAGCTCAGCATTCCAATTCTGATAGCACTAGTAACAGTCTGAATGTGTATCCGTCTCGCCTTTCCCTGAAATTTGACAATCAGCCAGATCCCCTGGTCACTTGGTACAGCACCATTCTTCTCAGACTGTGATGATCTAAGGGGGCACCTCTCAGGGGGTTGGCACATTGGGTTGTCGGTGTTAGACCCATTTTCTGTAGACTTATTTATACCGGACAGCCAATCAGTTCAAATTTATGGTGGCCACCTTTATTTTTCAGGACATTTCCTGGAGCCAGTTTTTTGCTGGGTCCACTAGGGTGCCCTACATTTGTGTTTTATTCAGTTATACAAAATGTTGGCCATGATTGTTTCAGTGTTGCTATGACTAGGACTGACTGTTGCTATGACTAGGACTGACTGTTTGCTATGACTAGGACTGACTGTTGCTATGACTAGGACTGACTGTTTGCTATGACTAGGACTGACTGTTGCTATGACTAGGACTGACTGTTGCTATGACTAGGACTGACTGTTTGCTATGACTAGGACTGACTGTTGCTATGACTAGGACTGACTGTTGCTATGACTAGGACTGACTGTTGCTATGACTAGGACTGACTGTTTGCTATGACTAGGACTGACTGTTGCTATGACTAGGACTGACTGTTGCTATGACTAGGACTGACTGTTTGCTATGACTAGGACTGACTGTTGCTATGACTAGGACTGACTGTTGCTATGACTAGGACTGACTGTTGCTATGACTAGGACTGACTGTTGCTATGACTAGGACTGACTGTTTGCTATGACTAGGACTGACTGTTTGCTATGACTAGGACTGACTGTTGCTATGACTAGGACTGACTGTTGCTATGACTAGGACTGACTGTTTGCTATGACTAGGACTGACTGTTGCTATGACTAGGACTGACTGACTTGCTATGACTAGGACTGACTGTTGCTATGACTAGGACTGACTGTTGCTATGACTAGGACTGACTGTTGCTATGACTAGGACTGACTGTTGCTATGACTAGGACTGACTGTTGCTATGATTGATGATGATATCTAGGATTGTGTGACTGTTATAAAAGTATTACTGTGATTGATATAGGCTTTTGTTATTTCATTATTGCTATGATTGATATTGGCTTTCATTGTTTGACTGTTGCTGTGATTGATATTGACTTTTGTTATTTCACTATTGCTATGATTGATATTGGCTTTCATTGTTTGACTGTTGCTATGATTGAGTTTCTTAGGATTCAACAGATTATGAGAGAAGGGATTGACCTTGCCACTGAGAAGTTAAAGTTGGACCAGCAGTTGAAAAGAATTGTTGATGAGAAGATGAAATATCTACGCAGGATGAGATCTATAACTTTAGTAAGTTATACATGTCTACACAATCTATAACTGATCTATAACTATAGTAAATAGTACATGTCTGCACAAGATGAGATCTATAACTGTAGTAAATGATAATGTCTACACAATATGAGATCTATAACTGTAGTAAATGATAATGTCTACACAATATGAGATCTATAACTGTAGTAAATGATAATGTCTACACAAGATGAGATCTATAACTGTAGTAAATGATAATTTCTACACAAGATGAGATCTATAACTTTAGTAAGTTATACATGTCTACACAATCTATAACTATAGTAAATAGTACATGTCTGCACAAGATGAGATCTATAACTGTAGTAAATGATAATGTCTACACAATATGAGATCTATAACTGTAGTAAATGATAATGTCTACACAATATGAGATCTATAACTGTAGTAAATGATAATGTCTACACAAGATGAGATCTGTATTTGTCACAGCCATGACCTTCATTGTCTTGCTGCTGAATATAGAAGCAAAGGCTCCACTGTTTTTGATGACTTTTAGTTCTTGCTGTAAAAGCCCATGTACAGAATCATCTATATATATATATATATATATAAAACACAGCATCTTCCGGTGATGAGTGTTCCCACACCAATGCTTTCACTTCTGCATCAACTATTGGTGGCGCCAAACCACGGCACTGTCTTTTCAAGGTGATAACCATCACAGAGTACTGTTTGTATTTATTTGGTATGGGTATCCACTTCTCTTTACGGTTCTTGTCTTGAAGGGAAATCACCTGAAGTGTTGTCTGTGCCTGGCCCAACCAAGACTGGCTGTGTTTAAGTCTGTTGCCTTTATGCGTATTCAGTTTTTTAATGCATATTCTGTGACAGAGAGGGTCAAACCCTGATAGAGGATGACTAGCAGCCTTTATTGACCAATGCAATGAGCTGTCTTCTAGGGGATGATGTGTCTAGTGAATGCCCTTAGCACACATTCTTACAATGACATAACTGGGACAAGCCAACATCTACTTCAAAGTACGAAAAGTTTATTGACATCACATCACTTACTTAAAAGTCCTGTCCGTGTCCTAGTTTACAGCTTACACGCACCAGAGTTCGGCGCCTTCACTTTCACATCGCCTCATACATGGATCTGGATGTTACTACAGACTTGACACAGACTGGACTTGGCTTCGATGGATGTTGTCGTCTGGTCTTCCTCTCTCAACAATCAGTCTCACGTTGTCATTCTCCCGAACACTTTCGCTCTGACGCTCAACACATACTAACCTGTACTAACTGAGGTCTGACCTTATACCCAGTGTTCGTTCCACGTGGCAACACGTAGTTGTTCTTGGGTTCCACGTGGCGACCTGTGGTCGTTCTCCTTTACTTCCACGTGATAACTCGTGGTCGTCCCCTATCTTGAAAACCTCGTTTAATCTGAGTATCTGGCTTCTCTCATAGCTTGGGGCTTTCCCCCCAACCTTCCCAATCAGGGTGAAAATATCCCCCATTACAACCACACATGACAGCCATAACTCTCATTGCAGCCAAACCCTTTCAGGCCTTGTTGATCATAACATGGCAGACATAACTCTCATTGCAACCAAACTCTTTCAGACCTTGTTGATCATAGCATCAACTTGGAATCTGCATCTAAGGCTCTAAACAAAATTGACTCCTAGGTATTTTAGAAGTTCAGTCTTTACTATTTCTTCACCATTCATATGCACAGAGGGTGTTTTTGTGTGTACTATGTGGTTGTTCAGAGAGAACCAAGTTGCAGTCACTTTTGCATGGTTAGTCTGTGCTCCGAAGGTTTTACACCAATATGCCATGTGTCCCAGTTCCTTTTGGAGTTCTTCTACAATTCTGCCACTGTTCTTTGAGACGAGATCTCTAACTTTAATAAGTGACATCTACAAAAGTCAGAATTATTGCATTTTGTCTCTGTCAGCAACTATGCTAAATGTGAATATTTTATGATCTTCTCATGAATATTTACTGCTGCCATGAAATTAGACTCATTTACACATGCGTCTTTTTATTATACGCATGTTAATTTTTTTTACACATGCATCTGTTTATTATGCACACATTTTTATTTACACATGCATCTGTTTATTATGCACACATTTCTATTTACACATGCATCTGTTTATTATGCACACATTTTTATTTACACATGCATCTGTTTATTGTGCACACATTTCTATTTACACATGCATCTGTTTATTATGCACACATTTTTATTTACACATGCATCTGTTTATTGTGCACATTTCTATTTACACATGCATCTGTTTATTGTGCACACATTTCTTTTTACACATGCATCTGTTTATTATGCACACATTTCTTTTTACACATGTATCTGTTATTATACACTCATTTCTGTTTATTTACACATGTATAATTTGAGGTTGATAAGGTTTTGTATTTAGATGAATAAATGGTTGCCTGTCTCTAGGTAGACTTGACCCTAATTGGAACATGATGGAAGGGTTGTCTGTTTCTAGGTAGACTTGACCCTAATTGGATCATGATGGAAGGGTTGTCTGTTTCTAGGTAGACTTGACCCTAATTGGAACATGATGGAAGGGTTGTCTGTTTCTAGGTAGACTTGACCCTAATTGGAACATGATGGAAGGGTTGTCTGTTTCTAGGTAGACTTGACCCTAATTGGAACATGATGGAAGGGTTGTCTGTTTCTAGGTAGACTTGACCCTAATTGGAACATGATGGAAGGGTTGTCTGTTTCTAGGTAGACTTGACCCTAATTGGAACATGATGGAAGGGTTGTCTGTTTCTAGGTAGACTTGACCCTAATTGGAACATGATGGAAGGAATGTCTGTTTCTAGGTAGACTTGACCCTAATTGGAACATGATGGAAGGGTTGTCTGTTTCTAGTCTGTTTCTAGGTAAACTTGACCCTAGTTAAAACAGGATAGAAGGGTTGGTGGCAGAGTTGTCTGTCTCCAGGTAACTTGGTCATAACTAGAACATGGAGGAAGGGTTGCCTGTCTTTAGGTTAACTTGACCATAATTAGAACAAGAAGGAAGGGTTGCCTGTGTCTAGGTGAGTAAACATAACCAAAACATAGGCATGCCTGTCTCTAGTTAAGTGGTGGGGGTAGTTAGAAGTGTCACCATTCATCATTGTCTTGTGGGGTATGGCAGATAGAAGAAGGGACATCTAGTGTCACCATTCATCACTATCTTGTGGGGTATGGCAGATAGAATGGACATCTAGTGTCATCATTCATCACTGTTTTGTGGGGTATGGCAGATAGAAGAAGGGACATCTAGTGTCATCATTCATCACTGTTTTGTGTGGTATGGCAGATAGAAGAAGGGACATCTAGTGTCATCATTCATCACTGTTTTGTGGGGTATGGCAGATAGAAGAAGGGACATCTAGTGTCACCATTCATCACTGTCTTCTGGGGTATGACAGATAAAAGAAGGGACATCTAGTGTCATCATTCATCACTATCTTGTGTGGTATGACAGATAGAAGAAGGGACATCTAGTGTCATCATTCATCACTATCTTGTGTGGTATGGTAGATAGAATGGACATCTAGTGTCATCATTCATCACTATCTTGTGGGGCTGTATCAAACAGTGTTGATACTGACAGGACTGTATGAACCTGGGCAAGGAGCGTGTGGAGAAAAGTCTGCAGCTGATGGCATGTGTTCGAGACTGCTGCCGTCTAGAGACACAGTTGCACAATACCAGCCACAGGTGTGAGGCTGTCAAGGTTGGTGTGTGTCACGTGACCTGTTTTTGCCGTCTTGTTTTATGTTCCAGCTTTGTGCTGGCTGATGTCGTGTCTGTTCTTGTTCTTGTTTTAGTACAAGGCTTTTCTTGTTGATGTGTTGACATATACTGATAGTCTACACACATGTTCTGATAAATGTGTGGTGTACACACTTGTACTGATAGTCTACACACATGTTCTGATAAATGTGGGGTGTACACACTTGTACTGATAGTCTACACACATGTTCTGATAAATGTGGGGTGTACACACTTGTACTGATAGTCTACACACATGTTCTGATAAATGTGGGGTGTACACACTTGTACTGATAGTCTACACACATGTTCTGATAAATATGGGGTGTACACACTTGTACTGATAGTCTACACACATGTTCTGATAAATGTGTGGTGTAGACACTTGTACTGATAGTCTACACACATGTTTTGATAAATGTGTGGTGTACACACTTGTAGTGATAGTCTACACAAATGTACTGATAAATGTGTGGTGTACACACTTGTAGTGATAGTCTACACACATGTTCTGATAAATGTGTGGTGTACACACTTGTACTGATAGTTTACAACATAAACTGAGAAATTGATTCTGTGTACACAGTACTGATACATTTCTGCTCTCTGCAAGCATACTTACAAATGTTTGATGTGCATATATATACTGATAGATAGCCTATCTGTTTCAAGGTTTAAACAACGGATCAACATCATGGCTCAAGAGTAGTAAGTAACAAATAAATGCTCCTTTCTACTTCTAACTAAAGTCTGAGTCCAAATTGTCTCAGTGCAGTGCACAAACTTCATAGCACTGCTGACGATCCTGAAATACTTTGGGTAGATTTTTAACTCCAAATTTTGCCCGGGGAGCGCCGTTAGGCTACTCTTTTCGATTTCCAACTGCAAAGATTTCTTACATGCTCAACAATACACATGGGCGTTGGATCCTATTACCCAGAGACCAGGGGAAATAACTAGAAATTCACCTGAAAAAATGCCAGCGATCACCTGAGCCTGAACCCGGGAGACCTCCGGCACTGAAGGCAGACGCCATGCCTCAAGACCACGCAACCTGCAGCTCATCTGTACACATACTGATAAATACCTAGTCTGTACATGTAATGTTACAACACATATCAGATCACAGATGTCTAGTGCACACATATCAGATCACAGAAGTCTAGTGCACACATATCAGATCACAGATGTCTAGTGCACACATATCAGATCACAAATGTCTAGTGCACACATATCAGATCACAGAAGTCTAGTGCACATTTATTTAGTCACAAATGCATAGCCCACACACATAAAATCACACATGCCCAGCCCACACAAAAAACAAAATCACATCTAGTGAACACCTGTACAGCTAGCTACAAATCCATAGCCCACAGATAAAATTACAAATGTCTGGTGCACACCTATACAGCTACAAATGCATAGCCCATACATTAAAATCACAAATGCATAGCCCATACATTAAAATCACAAATGTATAGCCCATACATATATAATCACAGCCTCTAGTGCACACGCATACAGCCACAAATATCCAGTCCACACATAAAATCACAGATATCTAGTGCAGTGCATACAGCCAAAAATATCTAGTGCACACACATACAAGCACAAATGTCTAATGCACAACCCAAAAATATCTATTGTACACTACAAATGTCTAGTGCACATGTATAAAGCTACAAATGTCTAGTCCACACATATAAAATTGCAATTGTCTAGTGTGCCCATATTTACAAATGTCTAATCCACAGAGTTAAAATCACAAATGTCTAGTTCACACGTGAAAAATCACTAATGTCTAGTCTATACACATTCAGTCACAAATGTTTAGTGCACACATATTTAGTCACAAATGCCTCGCACACACATATAAAATCACAAATGTTTAGTCTACACATCTGAAACAACAAATATCTAGTCCAAACATATTGAGTCACAAATATGAATCCAAACATATAGTCACCAATGTCTAGTCCAAATAGTTACAAATGTCTAGCCCACACATTTAAAATCAGAAATATCTAGTCCATATATATAGTAACAAATGTCTAGTCCACACATATATAGTCACAAATGTCTAGTCCACACATATACAGTCACAGATGTCTAGTCCACACATATATAGTCACACATGTCTAGTCCAAACATATACAGTCACATATGTCTAATACACACATATACAGTCACACATGTCTAATACACACATATACAGTCACAGATGTCTAATACACTCATATACAGTCACATATGTCTAATCCACACATATACAGTCACAAATGTCTAGTCCACACATATACAGTCACAAATGTCTAGTCCACACATATACAGTCACAAATGTCTAGTCCACACACATACAGTCACATATGTTTAGTCCACACATATACAGTCACACATGTCTAATACACAGATATACAGTCAAAAATGTCTAGTCCACACATATACAGTCACAGATGTCTAGTCCACACATATAGTCACACATGTCTAATACACACATATACAGTCAAAAATGTCTAGTCCACACATATACAGTCAAAAATGTCTAGTCCACACATATACAGTCACACATGTCTAGTCCACACATATACAGTCAAAAATGTCTAGTCCACACATATACAGTCACACATGTCTAATCCAAACATATACAGTCACAGATGTCTAGTCCACATATATACAGTCACACATGTCTAATCCACACATATACAGTCACACATGTCTAATCCACACATATACAGTCACAGATGTCTAATCCACACATGTCTAATCCACACATATACAGTCACACATGTCTAATCCACACATATACAGTCACACATGTCTAATCCACACATATACAGTCACAGATGTCTAATCCACACATATACAGTCACACATGTCTAATCCACACATATACAGTCACAGATGTCTAATCCACACACATACAGTCACAGATGTCTAATCCACACATATACAGTCAGACGTCTAGTCCAAACATATACAGTCACAGATGTCTAATCCACAGATATACAGTCACAGAAGTCTAGTCCACACATATACAGTCAGACATCTAGTCCAAACATATACAGTCACACATATCTAGTTCAAACATATACAGTCACACATAGCTAGTCCAAACATATGCAGTCACACACGCCTAGTCTATACACATGGAGTGATGAATGTTTAGTGAAGACATATATTTATGTATTTTTGCTACATGCACCTATCTGGTGCATGCACTAATGACCCCTGCCTGGTACATGCACCTATCTAGTGCATGCACTAATGACCCCTGCCTGGTACATGCACCTATCTGGTGCATGCACTAATGACCCCTGCCTGCTACATGCACCTATCTGGTGCATGCACTAATGACCCCTGCCTGCTACATGCACCTATCTGGTGCATGCACTAATGACCCCTGCCTGCGACATGCACCTATCTGGTGCATGCACTAATGACCCCTGCCTGCTACATGCACCTATCTGGTGCATGCACTAATGACCCCTGCCTGCGACATGCACCTATCTGGTGCATGCACTAATGACCCCTGCCTGCTACATGCACCTATCTGGTGCATGCACTAATGACCCCTGCCTGCGACATGCACCTATCTGGTGCATGCACTAATGACCCCTGCCGGGTACATGCACCTATCTGGTGCATGCACTAATGACCCCTGCCTGCTACATGCACCTATCTAGTGCATGCACTTATGACCCCTGTCTGCTACATGCACCTATCTGGTGCATGCACTAATGACCCCTACCTTCTACATGCACCTATCTGGTGCATGTAATAATGACCCCTGCCTGGTACATGCATTGATGGTCCTACCAAATGTACACACCACTGATTTTACTACCTAGTGCACACACCTGCACTGATTAAACCTACCTAGTGTACACACTTGCACTGATTACCCCTACCTAGTGTACACACCTGCACTGATTACCCCTACCTGGTGTACACCTGCACTCATTACCCCTACCTAGTGCACACACCTGCACTGATTGCCCTACCTAGTGTACACACTTGCACTCATTACCCCTACCTAGTGCACACACCTGCACTGATTGCCCTACCTAGTGTACACAATTGCTCTGATTACCCCTACCTGGTGCACACACCTGCACTCATTACCCCTACCTAGTGCCCACACCTGCACTCATTACCCCTACCTAGTGCCCACACCTGCACTCATTACCCCTACCTAGTATACACACCTGCACTGATTACTCCTACCTAGTGTACACACCTGCACTGATTACCCCTACCTAGTGTACACACCTGCACTGATTACCCTTACCTAGTGTACACACCTGCACTGATTACCCCTACCTAGTGTACACACCTGCACTGATTACTTCTACCTAGTGTACAAACCTGCACTGATTACCCCTACCAAGTGTACACACCTGCACTGATTACCCCTACCAAGTGTACACACCTGCACTGATTATCCCTACCTAGTGTACACACCTGCACTGATTGGCTCTACCTAGTGTACACACTTGCACTGATGGCTCTACCTAGTGTACACACTTGCACTGATTACCCCTACCTAATGTACACACTTGCACTGATTACCCCTACTTGGTGTACTCACCTGGACTGATGGTCTACCTAATGTACACACCTGCACTGATTACCCCTACCTAGTGTACACACCTGCACTGATTACCCCTACCTAGTGTACACACCTGCACTGATTACCCCTACCTAGTGTACACACCTGCACTGATGGTCTACCTAATGTACACACCTGCACTGATTACCCCTACCTAGTGTACACACTTGCACTAATGGCCCTACCTAGTGTACACACATGCACTGATTACCCCTACCTAGTGCACACACTTGCACTGATTACCCCCTACCTGATGTACATACTTGTGCTGATTACTCCTACCTGGTGTACACCCTGGCACTGATGGCCCTACCTAGTTTACACACTTGCACTGATTACCCCTACCTGGT